CGAGCGCAATTCAAAGTGTTGGTGCTGACCGTTAAAGCCCTAAATTGCCTCGGTCCCGTATACCTGAAGGAGCGTCTCCAACCCGGTCATCCAGTCCGGACACTGAGATCCAGCTCCGAGGGTCTTCTGACGGTTCCCTCCCTGTGAGAAGTGAGGTTACAGAGAACCAGGCAGAGGGCCTTCTCAGTGGCGGCACCCTCCCATCAAAGAAATAAATAACGACCTAACATTTAGAAGATATCTGAAGGCAGCCCTTGATAGGGAAGCTTTTTAATGTTTAATGTTTTATGTTTTTATATAGGAAGCCATTCAGAATAGATGGGCACGGTATTATTATTGCTGTTGTTGTTTCCCCACCATTGGTACTCAGCAAATGCTTCCGAACATGGAGGCTCATGAACATAGGAATCTGCCTTATATTGACCTAGACTGTTGGTCCATCTAGGATTGACTACATGATAGTAGCTCTTTGGCAGACCAAACTGGAGACCAAACCAGGTTATTTGATTGGTTTTAACCTTTTGCATGCCAAGCAGATGTTCTGCCACTGAGCTAAATGCCTTCTCCCCAAGTGCTTGGTTCTGTGCCTCGTATAATTCAATTTTTTTCTTTTTAATTAGCTGCGATTTTGAATTTTTCTTCACAGCCACAAGGACTAGAAACTTGATCTCTTTTTATCATTACTAAAAAGCTGGGTTTTCAGGCTGCCAGCTTCTTTGTCCTAAGCCCATACAATAAATGCAGACTTCTACAACAAGGCGCTGGCATGCATTGCAGTCTAAGGAAACTAATGGGGTTTCTCTGCATTGTATGGTTGGTTTCATCTATCCATTTCCTTTTGGGCTGTACTCTTCTAATTACGATTCCAGAAGCTGCTGAGGTCTTCTAGGCACGGGCTCCAGATGCTACAGTGATCTCCTTTGCTACTTTTTTCTTTTCTTTTGTACACGTGAGTTTTCACCGGTGCTTCTGGCATCCATCGCCGCAGTGCTGTTACTATAGCTACTCCTGCTCTTATCCTGCATTTCTTTAAACCTTGTCAGCTTGAAGAATTATTCAACCCATCACAAGTCCAGAGCCGGCTAAAGCGAACAGGCTCTGCCACAGGGAAAGCTTTGTGTTGCTATCCAAAACCAACAAACTAATCCCCGATAGCCAGCACGCAGCGTTTGTGTTCACCAGGACGCAAGCGAGGCAGCGGAGGAAGGATTTCTGAAGAGCTACAGGGATGCAAAAAGAAAATGAGGGTAACTCACTCTACGTGGGGCTGCCCTTGAGACTCACCCAGAAACTCCAGCGGGTGCAGAATGCCACAGCGAGACTCCTCAGGGGGTCTTTGCCACGGGATCACATACGTCCAGTGCTATACCAGCTGCACTGGCTCCCGGTGGAGTACAGGATCAGGTTTAAGGTGCTGGTTTTGACATTTAAAGCCCTATACGGCCTAGGACCCTCGTACCTGTGGAGTATATGGAGTATACTCATTCATTCATTCTTTGCTTATTTTTGCCATTTATATATTCCCCGTGTGTGTGTGTGCATGCTTGTATTCATTATTTGGCTGGAAATCCGCCTTGCCAAAACTGGAGAAGCTTGAATTGTGAAGGATGGCTCATTTGTCAGTATAAATATAACTATATAAGTGTGAATTAGATAGGGTCACTTTTCAACACAAACTGAATCAAAGCTGCCCCAGCCCAGCCACCCCTAGGTACCATGTAGATTTGTAAGATCCTTGGGGCAGAGATCAGCACCTTTTTCACCTTTCTGCATGCTGCTCCATGGAAACTTTAGTCCTCTGAGCTAATTCACCCCCCCCCCCCCCCCGCAATAATTTTTATTAAATTTTCTGTTTTACATTTTAGAATATTCAACCTTAAAATATCAGTGACTTCCCTTCTTCTCTTTCCATGGTTCATCTTGCATAACATAAATGCCTGCATATTTACCGTATTTTTTGCCCTATAGGATGCACTTTTTCCCCTCCAAAAATGAAGGGGAAATGTGTGTGCGTCCTATGGGGTGAATGCAGGCTTTTGCTGAAGCCTGGAGAGCGAGAGGGGTCGGTGCGCACCAACCCCTCTCGCTCTCCAGGCTTCAGGAAGCTATCCGCAAGCCTGTTCTGGGGGCTGGGGTCGGGGGAAGCTTGGGCTTCCTCCGCCCCAGCCCTGCGCCTGGGGGGGCAATAATTTTTTTTCCTTTATTTCCCCCCCAAAAAAAAAACTAGGTACGCCCTATGGGCCGGTGAGCCCTATAGGGCAAAAACTATGGTACATAAACTAAACCATTCAGTATTCTATTATTACATCCGTCAAAACTTATTTACACTGTTGAATTTATCTTAATGCTGCCAATGTTTTCAAGTGTACACAATTCCTCCCATATACTCAATAAACATTTTCCAGTCTTCTTTAAACATATGTTCTTCTTGTTCTCTTATTCTATATGTTAGGTCCGCAAGCTGCACATATTCCATCAGTTTGAGTTGCTGTTCTTCTTTAGTCAGTCCTCTGAACTAATTCTTTTATTGCCTTCTGTGTTTTCCTGCCGGCCTCTGCAAAATAAACCCTATGCATGGTTTCTGGGTCCTTAATTGGGTCCCCAGCTACTGCAGTAATCTAAGTACAATGCTGTAGTGCAGTATTCACCCAACACAGAGATTTTTGCTTTTAATAGTTTATCCATTCGCCGCCAGCTATCCCAGCAATTTAATGAACTGGGAGTGGAGGACAAACACATTAGACAGTTATCTGCTGGAAGGACCAAATTAAAATTCTGGGAGATCCAGTTGTTTAATATTTCCTGCTTCCAAGAACTCAGCATGAAGTCTCTTTGAGCTCAGCCATTCGAGATGGGAGAAAAAATATGTATGCTCGCTTTATCCACAAATCTTTTGTTCCATCAAAATGACAATGCATTTTAGCTGATTGGGTTTGGGTGTGTGGGATTGTCACTGGTCTGCAGCCCAGAAGTCTGTGGTTCATAAAAGAGCAAATGGAAATACTATTATTTCAAGTGGAATATTTAATTTCTGAATTGCTTAATACATTAACAAATATCTCTAAGTTGCAGCAGCATTAACGTGGAAGGAAGAGATAACCCTGAACAGAGAAAAATGGCAAACCAAGTTGATGGACTATGCCAAAATGGCAAAATTTACTGGGAAGTTCAGAAACCAAGAACTTTAAGAAAGAATGGGGAAAGTTTATAATTTATTTACGAGACCACTGTAAGCAGGTTAGAACATTAGCAGGATTTTAACCACACTTGTAAAGTAACGGAAAGTATGGATAATTTAGAAGAACTTTATTTTTATTTTATGATAAGTAGTGATATGCAGTTGTAAATATTATCATTAGGACCCATGGAATGGAAGGGGGAAGTCAGGTGATTCAGAGTAATCTCAGTATTTGGATTTCGAATTGTTTTTTGTTACATGTTTATACTTTTTAAAAATCAAATAAAATTTATATATATAATATCTCTAAGCGGTGTACAGAACACTGAAACAAGAGACAACTTAAACAAAGCATTGCAAAAACACAGTTACATATAAAAATGTTACGTTAATACAAAGTTACTAACACATATTAAAAATATATATATTATAAATCAGTATCAGTTCATCAGTATCAGACCTCTCTGCCTCTGAGTTCTCACCCAGAGACCAAACAAATTCTCAGCTCACCCACAAAAGTCTCACAGTGGGAAGAGATCCTGGAAACAGAGGACTTTACTCTAGGCCAGGGGTCAGCAACCTTTTTCAGCCGTGGGCCGGTCCACCGTCCTTCAGACAATGTGGTGGGCTGGACTATATTTTGAAGGGAAAAAAATGAACAATATCCTATGCCCCACAAATAACTCAGAGATGCATTTATTATTATTATTATTATTATTATTATTATTATTGTTGTTGTTGTTGTACCCCGCCCATCTGGCTAGGTCTCCCCAGCCGCTCTGGGCAGCCTCTAACAAAGATTAAAAATACATTAAAATGCCCTGCTGCTGCCGCGCCGCTGGAGCCCAATTTCTGTTCTTAACCTGAAGCACTATTTCTGGGTTAGCAGAGCGTATAACCTGAAGCGTATGTAACCCGAGGTACCACTGTATTGGTATTACTAATTGTATTATAATTTGGTGTTGTTATAATGAGGCTACTATTGGATTGTTGTAATTGAAAACTAATAAAAATTATTATAAAAGAAAGAAAGAAATGGAGGCAACCTCCAAGAGGAGATCAGCCGATCTCCTTTTGCAGACACAACCCTTTAAATTTGAAGCCCTGCATCCGTTGAGCTCCTAAGGGCACATTTATCCAACATCGCTCCCTGCAACTGCGCCGCTTCTGCTTACAAATAGCAAGCGTCATGTTCAGTTTCAAGGATACCGGTCTCCAAAGACAAGTGCAGAGTTTACAGGCTAGTCTCCTTTTGTTGCAAGAGCAGGACTAGGAAGAGGCGGTTAAAATATGGACATTTTTGTATTTCTGTCAAAGATGGTAGGTATCCTAGCCCCTGATTTGGAATGGGTAGGTGCACAGCTAAATCTATTCCATTCCATTATACATTTTTTTAAAAAAATTTGGCACTCAATCATCTATTCCAGGGGAAGGCAACCTAAGGCCAGTGGGCCAGATCCAGCCCAATCACCTTCTAAATCCGGCCTACATGAGTAGAATGTGTGCTTTTATTTAAAATGCATCTCTGGGTTATTTGTGGGGCCTGCCTGGTGTTTTTACATGAGTAGAATGTGTGCTTTTATTTAAAATGCATCTCTGGGTTATTTGTGGGGCCTGCCTGGTGTTTTTACATGAGTAGAATGTGTGCTTTTATTTAAAATGCATCTCTGGGTTATTTGTGGGGCATAGTGTAGGGCCATAAGAAACCCCCAAACGGCCTTTCTGAGAAAGGAGAGGTCCATCAGGAGAACAAGGCTGGCATTGATGCATCAGGCTCAAATGTTTATTATTCAAGGTTGTCAAGAGATAAGCAGACTCAGGAATGCACATTGCCGTGGCGTGGTGAGGCTGGTGGAGCCACTGCAGGAAGGAGGGGGGGCAAGCCCGTGTAAGGACATGAAGGAGCATATTACAATAGAATTGTTCTATTATTGAGGGACATGCTTAAATGTTACATTGCAAATGGGCCCCTCGTTAGAATGTCTAGCCTGGGCAGATAGAGATAAAGAACAAGGATTTATTGTCACACAAGGATGAGGGAGGTTGCAGGAATCATAGAATCATAGAGTTGGAAGAGACCACAAGGGCCATCGAGTCCAACCCCCTGCCAAGCAGGAAACACCATCAGAGCACTCCTGACATATGGTTGTCAAGCCTCTGCTTAAAGACCTCCAAAGAAGGAGACTCCACCACACTCCTTGGCAGCAAATTCCACTGTCGAACAGCTCTTACTGTCAGGAAGTTCTTCCTAATGTTTAGGTGGAATCTTCTTTCTTGTAGTTTGGATCCATTGCTCCGTGTCCGCTTCTCTGGAGCAGCAGAAAACAACCTTTCTCCCTCCTCTATGTAACATCCTTTTATATATTTGAACATGGCTATCATATCACCCCTTAACCTCCTCTTCTCCAGGCTAAACATGCCCAGCTCCCTCAGCCGTTCCTCATAAGGCATCGTTTCCAGGCCTTTGACCATTTTGGTTGCCCTCCTCTGGACACCTGGAAGGAGGGAGAGAAGACCAAGACCTTATATGGTAATATAGGAACTTATAAGTTTCGATTTCCCAGAAATCAGGTGACTTACAAGAAATCAGGTGACTTACAAGAGATCAGGTGGTATTCTATTTTGCAAATCTATATAAAGGGGCGCACCCTGACTACTGTGTACAGGTTGCGTACTGATCGCCCTGTGCCTTTGTTCTGCATATGCACTTCAAATAAAAAATCCTGTTAATAACCTGCAAGAGCGTTTTGCCGCTTTGTGTGAATCTGTGCTTCAGGGACCGAAATAGCAGATATGTGTGGTCCTTCAGACATAGGAAGTTGCTATAACTTTCGATTTCCCAGAAATCAGGTGGTATTGTATTCTGCAAATGTATAAAAAGTGGGCGCACCCTGACTGGGGTGTGCAGATTGCGAGCTTATCGCGCTGTGCCTTTGTCCTGCATACACATTTCAAATAAATCCTGTTGAATCCTGCAAGGTTGGTTGCCACTTCGTGTGAATCTATGCTCCAGGGACCCAATAGCAGATATGGAAAATGTCCAACAATAGGAATTTGTTCATTCCCCCCCCCCAAAAAAAATAGTCTGGCCCACCACATGGGCTGAGGGACGGTAGACCGGCCCACGGCTGAAAAAGGTTGCTGACCCCTGATCTATTATTCCCTTAAGTGAAGTCTTTTGAAAGCGTGCATGAAAAGTTTGCATTTAAATCGAACACTTTGCACAGATGTTTGCACCATCTATGAACCTGTGTATGCAACAGCTGAGCTGCACATTTGTACAATTATTCACATGTCATGTTCAATGAGTGTGCAGCTGTGTTACTCCCCGCCTGGAACCCGGAGAGCTGCTGACAGCCAGAGTAGACAATACTGTGCTAGATGGGCCAAATTTTCTGACTCAAATGTCCAGATGTTCTATACAAGGCAGCTCCTGGTGTTCCTATATCCCTGTATTCCATTTCTTTGCAAGCTAGATGGTCGGGTTATTATTATTATTATTATTATTATTATCATCATCTGTAAATATTCGATAAACCATTTCCATTCTTTTATAAATTGTAAACAGTTAAGAACATTGGCAGGATCGTTGTCATAACCTGCAGTTTTATAAGAGTATATATTTAAAGTAGATGAATAAATGAGCAAATTAAGTTAATTTGGATATGCAGAAGATATTAAAAATAAATTTAAGGAACCGCAGAAAGAGGGGGAAGGAAGTCAAGCTTTGAAATGTTAAAATGACTGTAAAATTAGTGAAATGTATAAACCTGAAAAGTATATATATATATATATGTGTGTGTGTATATATATATATATATATATATATATATATATATATATAATATTCTAATTTGTTCTGTACGTACCATAGCTGAGCTGGACAAATCAGCAGGTGAGCAATCTTTCACACAAACGCTTTTATACGTGTAGATATCTCGTGTACCTGCCAGCTGCAAACATCTCTTAACTTTCTTATGGCAAATGTTGAGCCAAGCAGATGTGTGCGGAAGAAGAGGAACAGGAAACACTGCGTTCTGCTGCTCTCTTGTGTCCAAAGGCCGTTATAGCACAAACACAGTGTCTTTGTAACCCCACCCGCTCACAGACTTGTCAATTGTGGAGGGGGTTCGTTTTATTTACCTTCTGTTTTGAGCCTGGAAAGCCCCATCGCCTGTAAATACAGCTATGCCCCCCTTACATGCACCAGCAAGTTTGACCTTGAGTGCTAAAATGGGCAAAAGGCAGGCTTGAAGGTTCTCTTCGGAGCTGGAAACAGCTGGTGTTGGTGTCAACTCGGGCGCTTCCAGAAAGCCTGTGCGTTGCGCATTCGTCTTGATTTGTTTGCAGGGAAGTTCGACCATGCTAGCGATTTGTTTAATTCTATTAATGCTTAACTGTTGGTTTTTTTAAATGTTTTCTCTATAATTTTAGTGATTCATGTTTTCATCTTTAAGCCGCCTTGAGTCTTGTTAGGGGAAAAGGCAGAGTATAAATAAGAGAGAATAGCTAGGTTGATCTAACAATAAATAACAACAACTACAACTACAACTTATTATTTATACCCCCGCCCATCTGGCTGGGTTTCCTCAGCCACTCTGGGCGGCTAACAACAGAATTAAAAGCACAATAAAACATCAAACATTAAGGAGATGCTCCTTCAGGTATACTGGCCTGAGGCTGTTTAAAAGGTCAGCACCAACACTTTGAATTGTTCTCAGAAATGTCCCGGGAGCCAATGTAGGTCTTTCAGGGCCGGCGTTATATGGTCTGGGCGGCTGTCCCCAGTCACCAGTTTAGCTGCCACATTCTGGATTAGTTGCAGTTTCCGGGTCACCTTCAAAGGTAGCCCCATATAGAGCGCATTGCAGTAGTCCAAGCGAGAGATAACAAAGAATCATAGAATCAGAAGGGACCCTGAGGATCATCTAGTCCAACCCTCTGCAATGCAGGGATATGCAGCTGTCCCGTATGGGGATCGAACCTGCAACCTTGGCGTTATCAGCAGCACGTTCTATGTTCTGTGCCTTTGAGAGCTTCGTGAGAATCAGGCAGAAGAATAACCAGTGCAGGGTCCGTCCCCCCAGCATGGAAATTGAGTACTGTAGTTAATATTGCAGAATCGTACCCCATTGGGCAAAGGGTGAGAGCCCTGTGCGGAATGGGACACCAATGTTCTCAGCATTTTCCAGGATCAGTATGCGAAAATTGGCTCATAATCCCGCGCGTGAGATGACATCATTTCTACTCGCTCTGGCTCATATTCACGAACCGCGGCTAAGCCTCAGAACTCTAAGGATTTGGACATTTGTAGAAACCAACATCAAACTTAACGAGAAGCTTCTAAAGGTTACTGGGTCTTTGTAGATGATCAAGAAGGGAAAACGTACTTTGAACAAGCAATTCGTGGCAGGAATCATTAATAGGCAGCCACTCTTTTGAGGGCTGGCGTGGAAAAGATTTGGATTGTTGGCTACAGAGGTGCGTAGGCTACATTTTGAAAATGAAATGAAATATAATTTCAAAGAGGCACGGAACTGATTGATCTTTATCTGTAAACAGAATGGTTAAACAGACAGTGTAAACAAACCAACAGATAAATGTCAGTAACAAAATGGAGTTGAAATTGATTTTGTTATGTTTAGTTCCAGTATTCCTCCAAGGAGCTCAAAATGGCTTTCCATGAGAGACAGTGAGAGGGCCACAACAACCTTGCGAGGTAGGCTCGGCAGGCCCAGAGTCACCCAGCAAGCTTCATGGCTGAGTAGGGGTCTAAGTAGGGGATCCTAATCCAAAAAAATTACTGAAACAAATATATATTTTAAAAACAAAAACCATCAGAGTAATTAAAAAGGGAGGGGACCTCCTTGCTTCCTCCTACTTCTTTTCTGTATTCTCCACACCATGGGAAATTAATTAATTTAGAAAACGGATCAACTAAATGTAACATTTGATCAAAATGCTTGCCCAAGTGGTGTACTAGTTAAGAGCAGAGATAAGACCCAACTGATAACCACAGTCTCAGGTTAAAAACAAGTATGCACAAAACCATAGGTAGGCAAATTAAGGCCCGGGGGCCGGATCTGGCCCAATCACCTTCTAAATCCGGCCCCCGGATGGTCCGGAAATCAGCGTGTTTTTACATGAGTAGAATGTGTCCTTTTATTTAAAATGCACCTCTGGGTTATTTGTGGGGCCTGCCTGGTGTTTTTACATGAGTAGAATGTGTGCTTTTGTTTAAAATGCATCTCTGGGTTATTTGTGGGGCATAGGAATTCGTTCATTTGTTTTTTTCCAAAATACAGTCCGGCCCCCCACAATGTCTGAGGGACAGTGGACTGGCCCCCTGCTGAAAAAGTTTGCTGACCCCTGCACAAAACCACCATCATCGAAACCAAAGATAAAAATCAATAAAGCAGACGGAGAGGGCAACAGTTTAGTTTCTAAATTACGTACAGTGGTACCTCTGGATGTGAACGAGATCCGTTCCAGAGCTCCGTTCACATTCTGAAATGAACGCAACCCATGTCTGCGTGTTTGCGCGTTCGCGGGTCGCTATTTACCGCTTCTGCGCATGCGCGTGACATCATTTTGAGCGTCTGCACATGCACGAGTGGTGAAACCCGGAAGCAACGTGCTCCGTTACTTCCGTGTCACCGTGGAGCGTAACCTGAAAACACTCAACCTGAAGCACATTTAACCCAAGGTATGACTGTATCTGGGTAGGTTTACTAAAAAACAACAACCCAAAACCAAAAAAATCAGCTAAAAATGAATTATGGGGAGAACGATTTGTATCTGCTTCATAGCATCTGCACTGAGCACAATGCAACTCCTCTGCATTGTGGAAAGAATAGGCAGTACCAGACGGGGGCAAACAACCCCCCCACTAACACACAAAACAAGGAGCTCACCCCCCTAACTTGCCTTCCAATTTCTGAACTAATATTAACACATACTGTCATTTTTTCTTTCTTGTACAATATGCTTTTTAAGATGCTGCCTAGGTTTGTCATTGCTCTTCTCCCAAGAAGCAGGCGTCTTTTAATTTCGTGACTGCTGTCACTATCTGCAGTGATCATGGAGCAGGAAACGGCAAGCCATTCCTGTATCCCTGCCAAGAAAACTCCATGGACAAAGACAACAGGTTTGTACAATATAGGCCACCTTTCTCTCCAGGGAGCTCAGTGGGGCATATATGGTTCTCCTCTTCCTCATCTAACCCACCAACCCTGTGAGGTAGGCCAGGCTGAGAGGGAGTGACTGGCCCAAGGTCATTCAATGAACTTCGTGGCCAAGTGCAGGGTTTGAACTCTGGTCTCCCAGGTCTAAGCCTGGCGCTCTAACCACTACACGGCACTTTCGCTCCCTCCGCTAGAAATTTAGCTTTGCCCCTTGTGTGCGTGTGTATCCCAACCCCCAGAATTTTTTTTTTGCTGTTGCTGCCACGGAGGGAAAGCTGCAGTTCTCTGACGGCGTAGGTGCCGCGCGTTTCCTTTCTTTCAAGAAACCTGGCCCTGCCACAGCCATAACTCACACGAGCAGGTTCGTAGGAACCTTAGCAAAAGCATTTGTAGCATATTCTCTAACCACAGGCGGCCACCCACGCCTTTGGTTTGCAGCGAGGGCTGCTGGAGAGCTTTTTTTCTTTCTCGCCTCGAAAAACTCGTGCAAAAAAACACACACATCAAATTGAAGCCAGGATTTGTCTTCTGGTCTCTGTGTTCCAATTCCTCGTCTTGGATGATTTTGCCTCAAGTTCACAGGGCGCAAAGTAGACATTCCAGGGGTGAATCTGTACAATATTTAGACGCCGGAGTAAAACGGCCCTAGAAAGCATCTTAAAAAGCAGAGACATCACCTTGCCAACAAAGGTCCGTATAGTTAAAGCTATGGTTTTCCCAGTAGTGATGTATGGAAGTGAGAGCTGGACCATAAAGAAGGCTGATCGCCGAAGAATGGATGCTTTTGAATTCTGGTGCTGGAGGAGACTCTTGAGAGTCCCATGGACTGCAAGAAGATCAAGCATGTCCATTCTTAAGGAAATCAGCCCTGCGTGCTCACTGGAAGGACAGATCGTGAAGCTGAGGCTCCAATACTTTGGCCACCTCCTGAGAAGAGAAGACTCCCTGGAAAAGACCCTGATTCTGGGAAAGATGGAGGGCACAAGGAGAAGGGGACGACAGAGGACGAGATGGTTGGGCAGTGTTCTCCAAGCTACCAGCATGAGTTTGACCAAACTGCGGGAGGCAGTGGAAGACAGGAGTGCCTGGCATGCTCTGGTCCATGGGGTCATGAAGAGTCGGACACGACTAAATGACTAAACAGCAACTCAGCTCTTCTGGCACTGACTGGCAGCAGCTCTCCAAAGAAAGTTCGATGAAAATAGGGAGGTCCTGTTTTTGTAAATCACCTTGAGATTCCCCCCCCCCATAATCGAGTGGTATATAAATTTCACCAAATCAAATAAGTAAATAAATATTATTCCCCTAAAGCCTACTTAGATATGTAGAATGTCAACAAGTGTTTTGAAAACTGGTTTTTAGCCTATTGTTGATTTTAATTATGCTTTCGATGTTTTCAATAGCTGTTTTATTATCCAGGTATCTTTAACTGATAATGTTATTGCTTTATTCTTTTCGTCAACTGCTTGGTAACAAAAAACAAAAAAACCTCGATCAAACAGGGTATAAGCTTTATTAAATAGACTAAAGAAATAAAAAAAAGAAATTTAACCTCCCTGGAAACAAAGGAACACTCAATAAAGGCTGGGGTTAATCGTCTAACTTCCGCATAAGCAATGCGTTAGCACATTGGGATAAAGGGGTCAGTCTCAATAAAGAGATATTCTGGGGGAACTCAAGAGTTTTCCATTGTGTAGACAGGCAGAGTCCCCCAAACCCTGGGCAGCCCCTGTGTGGAATAGCGACTCAAGACAACGTGCTATGGGATCAAAATTGGCCACAACTTCATTATGTTTCAGATGGCTCAGGCATTGGGCATTTATCCCTCCCAGTCCCCCGCCGGGGATCTGGGGAACATCAGGGTTATCCAGTGGGGGGGGGCATGAGCTGGCTCTGGAGGACATATATTCAAGCAGAGAGAGCCCGCCCTCTTTACGCTGCCGTTGCAGGGTAGAGCAATGACAACCTCTAGGCGCACAGCCAATGCCTCCCCTCAAACAACCCCTTTAACGGGGAACCCTGGTATCGCTGCCACAAAGCGGAGGGGGCGTGGGTCACCGCTGCACGCGCCCCCCCCCCAATTTAGGGAAGATAGACTAAAGGATTCTGCCCAAGGCCTGACACCGCCAAAGTTGTGACGTTTTGCTACGGGGAAGGCAAACCTGCCAATGCAGAGGAATTCATTTCCGGCCCTTCAACAGCGACCTTGACGTAGCAGCGCCCACGTACCTGTGGAGAAAAGGTTAACCTGCAAAAGAAGTCTTAACTGAGGGTGGGTAGGGTGGGAGAAGCTCTGGAGCCAACTGATGATTCTCAGGTAAGATCCAACTGATGATTCTCAGGTAAGATCCCGCAGGGCTCCCTAGGCTGCGGATAGCAGCCTGCTGCATGGAGCGCGGGGCGCGCTGAAGCAGAGCGCCCCGTGCTTCAGGCAGATCTCCGCAGCCTAGGGAGCCCTGCGGGAGTTCCCGTGGCTGGGGGGGGGGGGGGAATAAAATTTTTTTTCTTTATTCCTCCCCAAAAAAACTAGGTGCGTCCTATGGGCCGGTGCGTCCTATAGGGCGAAAAATACGGTACTTATCAACTGAGATCGGACTCGTGAACCAAAATAGCAATGCTCCTTACCCCACATTTATTTTTAACAGTGGCAAAGTTTTAGGAATACACAGGACCTCTTACTGGGATCTGTTTGAAAGAAGATATCTTCAACGAACTCATTTTTTTTTTAAAAAAAATAATATATCTGTTTCTTATAATTGTATTTCACCCACTTCAGGAAAGAAAAAGGCTTCCATTGAAGAAACCAGAGGCCTTCCTCCTGGGCATAGTCGGCCAATCGGTGCTAAAGAAGGACAGAACTTTCTTTATGTATGCCACAACAGCAGCAAGAATACTTATTGAAAAGCATTGGAAGACACAAGACCTACCCACACTGGAGGAATGGCAGATGAAAATGATGGACTACATGGAATTGGCGGAAATGACTGGTAGAATCCGAGACCAGGGAGAAGGGTCGGTGGAAGAAGATTGGAAGAAATTTAAAGACTACTTACAGAAATATTGTAAAATTAATGAATGTTAGAATGATGTTGGATTGAAGTTAAGTGGTTTCTAGCTGTAATGGTATAAAAGAATATGGAAAAATTGGATTTTCAATACGTAAAAACCTAATGCTATAATATATTAAGATTAAAGATCAGGATTAAAAAGGAGGGAAAGGAATTGCTGGACTAATAAATTGAACTGGAATACAAAAAAGGGAGGTATGAGGAGGTCCGAGAAACAAGTAAATGAAAGAGAAGTGATGAAAAGATGGAATTGTTTTTAATTGTTGTTGTTTTTTTGTATTTTGTATTTTTCTTTTTTCTATTTTTCTCTTTCTTATCTATGTATCCTTCTTTTGAAACCTTAATAAATATCATTTAAAAAAAGAAAAGAAAGAAAAAGGCTTCCAGCAGGAGACCCTTGTCAGGACACAAGTGCTTCTTGTGCAATTTGCAGGATAAAAGGTCCTTACTTCCACTGATGTTAATTTCTCAAACAATCTTGTTAATTTGCAAAGCACCAGGAACAAATAATGATAGTGCCTTTGAACTTTAAAGGTCAGCTGGGTACTCAGACTGCAGGAGGGAGGTCTAATTGAAGTTCTAGGGAGCCTGGAGTTCTTAGCAAGGGGAGTATACCTAAATGGATTTTAAAAATAAAGGTGCATATTGCAGTTTAAATTGTGGCTGAGGAGTTGGAATTAATAATAATAATAATAATAATAATAATAATCTGGCTGGGTTCCCCCAGCCGCTCTGGGTGGCTCCCAACAGAATAAAAAATCAATAAAATATCAAACATTAAAAACTTCCCTAAACAGGGCTGCCTTCAGATGTCTTCTAAATGTGAGATAGTTGTTTATTTCTTGGACATCTGGTGGGAGAGTGTTCCACAGGGCGGGGGCCACTACCGAGAAGGCCCTCTGCTTGGTTCCCTTTAACCTCACTTCTCACAGGGAGGGAACCACCAGAAGGCCCTCAGAGCTGGACCTCAGTGTCCGGGCAGAACGATGGAGGTGGAGATGCTCCTTCAGGTATACAGGACCAAGGCTGTTTAGGTCTTTAAAGGTCAGCACCAACACTTTGAATTGTGCTTGGAAATGTACTGGGAGCCAATGTAAGTCTTTGAGGACCGGTGTTATATGTTCTCGGCGGCCGCCCCCAGTCACCAGTCTAGCTGTCGCATTCTGGATTAGTTGTAGTTTCCGGGTCACCTTCAAAGGTAGCCCCATGCAGAGTGCATTGCAGTAGTCCAAGCGGGAGATAACTAGAGCATGCACCACTCTGGCAAGTCTGTGGGCAGGGAGGGTCTCAGCCTGAGTACCAGATGGAGCTGTTAGACAGCTGCCCTGGACAAAAAAATTGACCCTTGCCTCCAAGAAATGTACACAAACACTGTTCTGCTCCCAGAAGATCTGGAGATGGCTAGCAACTTAGGGCTCATTTGCACGTCTGCTTGTTTCATGCCTTGAAAACACAGGTCTAAGTAGTATTGCTGCTCTTTAGCACTAAATCAGAACAAATGACAATTCATAGAAAACTCAATTGGTGTTTGTTGCAATTCATTGCTAAACTGTGGGTTTTCCCAGGGCAAAGCTGCAGGGCAACCAGCAATGTGGATAAGCCCTTAAAGGTAAAGGGTAAAGGGACCCCTGACCATTAGGTCCAGTCACAGACGACTCTGGGGTTGCGGCGTTCATCTCGCTTTATTGGCCGAGGGAGCCAGCGTACAGCTTCCGGGTCATGTGGCCAGCATGACTAAGCCGCTTCTGGCGAATCAGAGTAGTGCACGGAAACGCCGTTTACCTTCCAGCCGGAGTGGTACCTATTTATCTACTTGCACTTTGACGTGGTTTTGAACTGCTAGGTTGGCAGGAGCAGGGACTGAGCAATGGGAGCTCACCCCGTCGCGGGGATTCGAACCGCCAACCTTCTGATTGGCAACTCCTAGGCTCTGCGGTTTAACCCACAGTGCCACCTGCGTCCTGGATAAGCCCTTAGGTGACTTGAAAAGTAGATTATTATGCATTGCAGGGGGTTAGACTAGATGATTATTGGTCTCCCTTGCAACTTTACCATTCTACGATTCTATTCTTTATATTATTTACTGAATTTGAGTGCCCAGCTGCAGACCCCTCGCCTCCGGGAGCCTAGGCCCAGATAAACAAGACACAACAAAGTAGTTACAGGATTAAAATTAGGCCACAACTTTATTAAATTTCAGATGTGGGAAACCTTGGCTTAGGCCTTGGGTGGGTATCCCTCTCCGCCCCCAAGGAAGGCTCAGAGTCTGGGAAGTTGTGGGATGACAATGAGTGGTCAGAGGGAGAAGAGAGAGAAGACTGAGGGGGAGGAAGGAAGCTGAAGAAGGAATAGGGTTTAGTGAGCAGGAAGAAGCTGTGGCAGAGAGCAGTGCAGAAGCAGAAGCAGAAGCTGACGCAGGCAAGTGGAAGGAGAGAAGTCAAGAGGCAGGGAGGATTCCGGCTGGTGGAGCATCCCGAGTGTCTCCCCCTCCTGCAACAAGCTCTGCCCTCCCCGCCCCAGTCTCCCAGGGTGTGATGGCCTAGGAATCTGATTCAGAAGCTGAATCTGAGGAGTCCCAGCCTGCACAGGAGTCCCCGCCTCCAGGGCCGGCTGAGCCGGGGCAGGGGCTTGAATCTGAAGGGCCTGCACCTGTGTCGGTGTTAGGATATTTCCGTTCCACCTTAAAAGGGAGCAGGCTTTGTGAGTCAGAGTCTGCGTATTTCCTGTTCACAGGATGTTTATGTTTTCTGTTGCTTTCGTTTTCTCTCTGGTGTCTGGAGACACTGACGCAGGCAGTCATGTCTTTCTTTGTTCTGATCAACGCAGAATAAAACTTGTAAATAATGCTCTCCTGGGTGCAACTTTTGCTGTGACTATCTGCTGATAGAGTGTGCATGAGCTCTGGAATGTGGCAAGAAATCTTCTAGAAACTCATGTCGCTAATTGTTGATACTGCGTGACTACGGGAGGTCAATGGATCGTCCGGCAGACGGCTTGGGGGCCTTGATGGACTTTATCTCCCTGGCAGTATCCCAACAACAGGTTTCGGGCCCAGATTCACAGCACTTACAGGAGAGTAAGACTGCGACAGACTGCTGAAAGGTATGTGGAGGAAAAGCGAAAGTAAGGCTTTTCTGTTTGCCGCGGCAAGCACCTTTGATGTCCGGCTGGCAGATTAATGGATCTGGGAGCCGCGCCAAAGGCCTCAAGATTTATGAGCTGCCGAGATAAGACGTCTCTGAAGTGAATAAGATTCACGGCTCAAGTAGAAACCTGGAATGGAGTTTTTCCACGCTTCTGAGGCTGCTGAGTGCCCAAAGTTGAATCGGCACAATTATGGGACCTGGGCTGTGTGGTGTGAGAGCTTGCTGCGTCAGTTTGGAGTGTGGCATACTGTGTCTGAAGCCCCTCCAGTTCCTCTGACAGATAGATGGGAGGCCGAAAATTCAAAGGCCGTTGACATAATCGTCTTGTCCGTCTCTCTGGAGGAAATAAAGACGCTAGCTGGCAATCTGACTGCACGAAAGATGTGGCATGCTTTGAAGATAGCCCATTTGCCAGTCATCCCAGCCCAGAGTTTGACTGCATCGGAGGTCCTGGCTGTTTCCCAGAATGCGAGTGAATGCAGGGATGCTGAGGGCACCGGTTGCAAGCTGCAGGGGAGCTGACTGTCACGTCATCCCAGGCAGCATTCCAGCCTCCAGGGGAGCCAAGGAGTCGGCAGCTGAGAGCTCTGTTTCTCATGGGAGCCAAGGTCATCGCCTTTGCAGAGGCCGGAAGGGCAAAGGTAAACAGAGGCAGACGCCTGCAGATGGCCAGAAGCAGAGGGAGGGTGAAGAGCCCACGCCAGAGAAAACAAGGTTTTGTTTACTGGCACAGCTTCACCAAAGGCTAAAGGCAAGTCTGATGGCCAGGAGCAGGGGGGCAAGCTGCAAAAGCCCACGCCGGTGGAAAACAAGGTTTTGCTTGCTGCAAAGGCTGCTCCAAAAGCCAAGGCCAGGTTTGTTGTTGATTCAGGCTGTACCCGCCATGTCTCAAAGGACCGCCACCTATTTATCTCCTTCAAACCTCAAGAAGGTGAGATCCACCTGGCTGACGGAAAGACGTTGCGAATTGCAGGAGAAGGGACTGTGAAACTGGCAAGTCTGCACACGACCATCAAAGATGTACTGTATGTTCCAGGCGCTGCAGACAATTTGCTCAGTGTCCCACAGCTGACTGGGCGTGGTTTTGAGATTTCCTTCAAGAGGAGCGTCTGTGTCATCAGAAAAGGCAAAGAGGACATTTTGCATGCAAAGTTTATGGATGGCTTGTTCTGTATAACTTATGATGACATTGGTGCTGTTGTGTCTAATGCTGATTCTTGTTGTGTTGCACAAACTAACAAAGTTCTTCATGCAGGATGCATTCACGATGCACATCGAAGGTTTTGCCATCTCTCTTGGAAGGCACTGGCCAAGATGCCAGAGATGGTTGAGGGTTTGAACATCAAACCCTGTAAGTTTCACATGAAATGTGTATCTTGTGCAGAGAACAAGGTGAAGGTTGCTCCAAAAGGCAAGGAGTCTAGCAGGCAGGCTTCCAAACCCTACCAGCTAGTGCACGCAGACCTGGTTGGTCCACTTGCGCCCTCTTTGGGTGGAGCAAGGTACTTCATGGTTCTAATTGATTCTTTTTCCAGGTACATTCATGTGTTTATGCTCGAGCAGAAATCGCAAGCGTTTCCTAAGTTCAAGGCATTCTGTGCTTGGTTGGAGAATGTTCACGGTAAACGCATTGGCTGTTTGTTTACTAATCGAGAGGCTGAATTCACTTCTCGGCAGTTTGAAGCTTTCCTGACTGAGAAGGGAATCCAGCATAGCCTCTCAAGTCCTGGATCTCCATGGGAGATTTGTGAGCAAGCAAAGCAAATGTTGCTGCAAGGACTGAAAACATTGTTGCATGATGCCAATCTCCTGAGAAGTTTTGGGGGAGTCTTTGAACTCGTTTGTTTACACTTTTAATCGCAGATTGTCATCACCTATTGGTTGTACTCCCTATGAGAAGATGTTTGGTAAGAAACCCAACATCAAGCACATGAGAATCTTTGGTTCTGACATGTGGGTACACACCCCACAGAGCAACAAGCTTGGGAAGCGTGGGGCACATGGTTTGTTCATGGGGTACGAAAAGGTGCATACAGGGTATGGATGACCAACTCTAAGTCCATTAAGTTCACAAGGAGTGTTGAGTACAATCCTAAGTGGGGGGAAAATGTGGGAATTTTCCAGAGTTACCCAGAGGAGGATGAAGGTGATGTCAAAGAAGCAGCTAAAGCTGAGGAAGCTGCTGAGGATGATGATGATGATGATGATGATGATCAGAGTTCTGATTCCAGTTCAGTGGGCGGCGCTGCTGCTGATGCCAGTGGCAGTGATGACACTGCAGACTACAAGAGCGCAAAAGCCTCAGTCAGACCATCTGATGCGTCTGACAATGAACTGGAAGAACCACTGTTCACCATTGGTCACTTTTCTCCTAAGAAGGAGGAGATGAGTCCAGAAGACTTGCGTCTAGTACGCAGATCTGAGAGAGCCACGAAGGGCAGACCTCCAAAGAGATTTGCTGATGAGTTTGCTAAGACAGCAACTGCTGTTCTTAGTAGCTCAGAGAAGGTATGGGAACCTTCAAGCTTCAAAGAGGTTCAGGAGTTAACCTCTAAAGATGCTGAGCCTTGGCTTAATGCCATGAAGGCTGAAGTTGATTCCTTGAACAGGAACCAAACTTGGGAACTGGTACCGGTAGTCCCAGGAATGAGACTGGTTGGCAGCAAATGGGTCTTCAAGGCCAAGACAGACCAGAATGGCAAGGTTGTCAGACACAAAGCCAGATTGGTTGCCAGAGGTTTTTCACAGGTACCAGGACAGGATTACCACGAGACCTACTCACCCACCGTCAAATATGAGAGCATTCGGCTGATGCTCAAGATAGCTGCAGAGGAGAAACTGCATGTTTCCCATCATGACATTAATACAGCTTTTTGTACGGGATTTTGGAGGAGGAGCTGTTTATGCTTCCACCTGACGGGATGCAGATACAGAAGGGAATGGTCTGTAAACTGCGGAAATCCTTATATGGTCTCAAGCAGAGTGCCAGGTGTTGGAACACGAAACTCACTGAGACGTTGCTTTCTCTAGGTTTTCACCAGGGCAAAGCTGATCCATGTGTGTTTGTCAAGGAGGAGGGGCAAAACAAACTGTATTGTTTATGTTTTGTTGATGATCTTCTGATGTTTTGGAAGAATCAGGCTTTCTACCAAAGCACCCTAGCTCAGCTGAAGGAGCACTTTGACATGAAGGATCTTGGTGAGGTATCCAACTATCTTTCTCTGCAGGTGGAGAGGGACCAAGCAGGTAATTTTCTGGTACACCAAACACAGAAAATTGCTGATGTATTAACCAGGTTGAATTTGGTTGATGCAAACCCAGCAGACACACCGATGGTGACAGGTTACCAGGTAGACAGTACTGCTGAAGCGTTTTCTGACACAACGCTGTACAGATGCATTCTAGGCAAGTTGAATTTCATTGCTAGATGCTCAAGACCTGACATAGCTGTAAGCTGTAACCTGCTTAGCAGACATGCTAACAATCCTACTGTTCAGGATTGGAAAGCTCTGAAGCGCATAGCCCGCTATTTGAAAGGGACTTTGCACTACAGGCTGAGGTTCACCAGTCAGAAGACTGGAGGTCTTGAAATCTTTGCAGATGCAAGTTTTGGAAGTGACACCACGGATGGTACAAGCACTTCTGGAGTATGCTACATGTACAACCACTGCCTGTTTGACTGGTTGTGCAAAAGCAGACGACAGTGAGCCTAAGTTCCTGTGAAGCAGAACTCAATGCTCTGTCATTTTCACTCATGGATTGTGAATGGTTGATGCAACTGTTTAAGGACATCGGAGTTTCTGTGAAATGTCCTGTACAAGTGTATCAAGACAATAGATCGTGTTTGGCTTTGCTGAACTCGGAGAGTTGCAAGCAAAGGACCAAGTACTTGCAGATTAAGCTACATCGTGCAAGGGAGTGTATTCAGAAAGGACTCATTCAGGTGTCCTACATGCCAGGAAATGAAATTCCTGCTGATCTGTTGTCTAAGGTTGTTAACAGAGAACAACTTAAGGTTTACGTACAAAGGTTGCAATTGGGTTGAACCACAGGTACTACAGGTTACACGGAAAGGGGAGGATGTTAGGATATTTCCGTTCCACCTTAAAAGGGAGCAGGCTTTGTGAGTCAGAGTCTGCGTATTTCCTGTTCACAGGATGTTTATGTTTTCTGTTGCTTTCGTTTTCTCTCTGGTGTCGCAGACACTAAAGCAGTCAGTCATGTTTTTCTGTGTTCTGATCAACGCTGAATAAACTTGTAAATAATGCTCTCCTGAGTGCAACTTTTGGCTGTGACTATCTGCTGATAGAGTGTGCATGAGCTCTGGAATGTGGCAAGAAATCTTCTAGAAACTCATGTCGCTAATTGTTGATACTGCGTGACTACGGGAGGTCAATGGATCGTCCGGCAGACGGCTTGGGGGCCTTGATGGACTTTATCTCCCTGGCAGTATCCCAACAGTCGGGTCCTCAGGAGCAGACACCAGATGTATCCACTCTGGCTCCAGAGGTGATTGAGGACCCATTGCCTGCATGTGCACCTCTCCCAGCCCTGTCAGGGGAAGGTGAAGCTGCCCCTGGGTCCAGTAACCCTCCAGCCTCTTCTGAGCTGCAGAGGCTCAGGGCAGAGAGGCGGAGGGAACTGGGTTCTCTCAGGAGGAGTGCTCGCCTTAAGGCCAGGAGAGGCGGGTCACCTGTGGGCTGGGACCGCCCCTGGCCTCAGAGGAGATAAAGGCCAGCCAGCCCAGTCCCAGGTTGCGGGAGCAACGATGTTGGAAACCTGTTTCTGCCAGCACCCAGACCTGTTTTTCCGGAGTTCCCGACCACGCCCGGCTTCTTGCTTTGGACCCCGCTTCGCCCTTGGTGGAGAGTCTCCAGACCCTCGGCCCAGGACCGGACTTTGACCATGCCTCGCGGTAACACCCCCCCCCCCCCGGGACCAGCACACAGGACCAGCAGAGGCATGAAGAGGGTGGAGGAGAAGTTAGCTTCATGCAGGCGCAGTCTCAGATTGCTTGGGGGCAACTTTAGAGAGGAGGGGAACTGGGCAGCTCTGGGGAAGCAGGGACCTTCAGTCTCAGCAATTGCTTCATGGGGGCAAGACCTGCCGGAGATGAGTTGCTGTGCTCATCAGGCCTGACACCCCTGTGCAGATCCTGTTTTTGCTAACAAAGAGTTAACTCCAATGTGCTCAGTGTGATTTACTGCTGGCTCGCTCCAGCCAGAATCATAGTCCAAAACACCTGAGAGGCAAAGAAGCTGGCAAAGAGTCCACTCCGCTTTTGTTTTTTTAAAACCCACATAGATATCGGCAATCTTTGAATCCTCTTTGACAGGCAGCGGTTGAATAATTGCCAGAATCAAATTAGCAATCTCTGAAACGCAGTGATTAACGGCCCCGTCTTAAATCCACAGCGACGGCATTGTGTTTGAACAGCCTGTCAAGGGAAGCGGAGGTCAGGCTGAGCGGAAGCAGGACTGTCATGTGTGGAGATGTCTTCTGATCGCTCTGGGTGCTGTTATCAATTATTTCCCCATTAAAGAACAAAGCTCCTTTAACACCCCCACACCCCCGCTATGCTCAGGCAGCATCTCAGAGGATCTTGCCATCGTTTAATGGCTTGAGGCTAATTAAGCATTAGTCACATTAAAACACTAATTGGCAAGATGCTCTGGTGCATGCAAATCAGCAGGAGCAAGTGGCGCCGCTCTCCTTGGGCTGTACCACCAAAGCAATGGGTTTAAATGCTCCACCAAGTTTTATTGTTTGTTTTTTTTTTAAAAAAAAAAAACCCCACTCCTGCCTCTTAGAAAGCTAGCAGGCCAGGAATGTAGGAAGTCAGACCATTGGTCTATTTTGCCTGGTATTATTTCCTAAACTGGGTGGCAGCAGCTCTCCAGAGTTTCAGACTGGGCTCTCTCCTAGTCCTACCTAAGGTAAAGGTAAAGGGACCCCTGACCATTAGGTCCAGTCGTGGCCGACTCTGGGGTTGCGGCGGTCATCTCGCTTTACTGGCCAAGGCAGCCGGCATACAGCTTCCGGGTCATGTGGCCAGCATGATTAAGCTGCTTCTGGCGAACCAGAGCAGCGCACGGAAACGCCGTTTACCTTCCCGCTGGAAGGTATTTATCTACTTGCACTTTGACGTGCCTTCGAACTGCTAGGTTGGCAGGAGCAGGGACCGAGCAATGGGAGCTAACCCTGTTTCGGGAATTCGAACCTTCTGATCAGCAAGTCCTAGGCTCTGTGGTTTAACCCACAGCGCCACCCGATCTGCAAATTGAACCTTGCACCTTCTACATGCAAGACAAATGTTCTGCCACTGAGCTACGGACCTTCCCAAGCAGCCTGAACTATTTTAAAAGAATTTATTGAAATAACCCCACTACTGATTAGTGCAGAAATGAGATGCAACGGACTTGCAATTTTATGGCATGTGACTCATGTGGACAGAAAATAGCCTGAGTCATCCATCTTTTTTCTGGACTTTAAGCCATGACAAGCCCCTTCTTGCCTCATTTCCCCACCCATCTGCCCTTTTCCTTACCCTTCATTCTCCAGACATCCTTCTTTCCGGTTCCTCTTTCTCACTCCGTCTTCTGCCCTGTGCCCTTCCGTTACACCTGAGGGCCCCCCATCACTTAGATTCCTAAGCCTCGGTGGGTCCCTCTGTGAGGCTCTAATACCAGGCAAACTGACAACTTTCCCTTCCCTCATAGTAACTGGACTGCAGTGGTTCCCTGTAAACTGAGCATTCCTGATCCAATCAGCCAATCAGTGTCTCATACACAAAACTTCACAGCCACGAGGCTGTATGTATTGCCTTGTGTCATTTACTAGGGCTGTGCAACTGAAGCCCAGATATCAAACCAAAATCACCCAAAACAGAATCTCCTTCTTCCCCCACCTCCCCCCAAGCGCATGTTTAATTGGGGTTTAAACCCCAATTAAACATAAGGGCTGAGCTCCAAATGGATCACATCAGGGTGTGCGCAGTCCTATCATTCATTCATTCTCCTGTCAATCTGTTTTCATAATCTTTCCCGTCTTGGTCTGCACTAAATAAGGACATTTTGTGGTTGAACCTCCCATTTCCCTTTTTTTTCTAAATTGTGGTTCGTCGTGCTATAGCTTCGCCAGAGCTTCTCTGTTTCGTTGCATCTTCTGCCCAATACAGGCATACAGAGGCTCTTACACGTAAGAAAGAGATCTTTCTTCAGGCAAGGAGCAGGACAGGCTTGGCAGCAGACACAGAGCCCTGGAGGAGTCATGATTCAGGAGTTCAGGAATCAGGCAAGACATTCAAGACTAGATGGAAGCAACAAAGATGTCCCAACAGCTTCCACGCCATGCCTGCCAAGCTTTTAAAGATGAGACACAGTGTGCTCACTTATTATTTTTTTATTTATGTATTGCATTAAAATCCCACCTTTTCCTCCAAGGTTCTCTTCCTCCTCATTTAATCCCCACCACAACCCTGTGAGGTAGGTCAGGCTGAGAGGCAAGGACTGGCCAAAGGTCACCCAATGAACTTTGTGTCTGAGTGGGGATTTGAACCCTGTCTAAATCCCAGGTTCCTGGACTGACGGTCTCGCCACTACACCAAACTGGCACTCACTTCCCTGCTACGTCATAGGGAGATTTGTGTGGAGCTCCCGAAATTGAAACCTGGAGGTGTGTGCTGTGCTTGGATGTTTTTGTCTGGCCTAACATTCAACAGGCCAGGAGATGAAAGCTGTGCATCTTTTTCCAATTGGAAGATGCAGGGCAGACAAAAGAAAATGCCTTTTCACACTGTGCGTAGTTAAAAGTAAGGAATTTGCTCTTGCAAAAGGCAATAATGTTTGGGGAGAAGATTTGGAGAAAGCAGTGAGGAGCAATCATGCTATTATTATATGAAACCTTAATCGTTGTCATCATTAAAACAATTAGCAAATTTGAAATGTTTTCTGGAAATGCTGTCCCCACAGAACGCTGAAAAAGGTATGTAAGATAATAAGGGGTTATGATAATCATTAGGAATTAATGACCTGCGTTGCTGAATTCTGCAGGTGAATAATTAAAATCTTGGAAACTATGTAACCTAGATATCCATGATGCAAGGAAGAGTTTGTTTGCTGCTTATTGCAGCCTGCTCATGTCTTTTTCTGGACAAATGCCCATGGCTTCAATTAAGTAGTGGTATAAAGGTAAAGGGACCCCTGACCATTAGGTCCAGTCATGGCTGACTCTGGGGTTACGGTGCTCATCTTGCTTTACTGGCCGAGGGAGCCGGCGTACAGCTTCCTGGTCACGTGGCCAGCAGGACTAAGCCGCTTCTGGCGAACCAGAGCAGTGCACGGAAACGCCGTTTACCTTCCCGCCAGAGTGGTACCTATTTATCTACTTGCACTTTGACGTGCTTTCGAACTGGTAGGTTGGCAGGAGCTGGGACCAAGCAATGGGAGCTCACCTTGTCATGGGGATTCAAACTGCCAACCTTCTGATCGGCAAGCCCTAGGCTCTGTGGTTTAATCCACAGCGCCACCCGCGTCCCTTAAGTAGTGGTATAGCAGGAGGGAAATCCAACAGGTGAAGTTTCACCACTGCTGCCTATCTATGCCAGCTATGGGCATGTGGGGACCTTCAGTCTCAGCAACTGCTTCATGGGGGGGCAAGACTTGCCAGAAATGAGTTTCTGTTGGATTTCTAGCCAGACACAGGCTCATACCTTTCTCCTGCCAAACTGCTGGATTTAGTTGTAGAATCACAGAACTGTAAAGTTTGAAGGGTCTCCCCCCAGGGTCATCTAGTCCAACCCCCTGCAATGCAGCGATCTCAACACGCAAGTCCCCCATCCAATTTGAAACCAGACCAGCCCCTGCTTCGCTTTGCAAATGTGCTGGCAGTTTTATTGCTGCGCCACCAGGGATCACATTTAGTAGATGTACGTTCCTCTGTGAATTTCCATTTAAGGATTCAATAAGGTGAATCACTAGTGGTATGAAAAATAAATCAAAAGTGAAACTGTGTGTAAGTGTAACTTACATGTTTTAGCTTGGGAGTCAGAGGTGTGTTTTTGGTCCGAACAGGTGGAAGGTCGTTGCTGTGAGCTGCAATGAGCTAGATGGACTGATCTTCTGACTTTGGAAAAAGCAACATCGTATGCCAGCATTGAGATGCCAGACCATGATCCAGTGGTACCTCGGGTTAAGACCTTAATTAATTCTGGAGGTCAGTTCTTAACCTGAAACTCTTCTTAACCTGAGATACCACTTTAGCTAATGGGGCCTCCTGCTGCCGCCGGAGCACGATTTCTGTTCTCATCCTGAAGCAAAGTTCTTAACCCGAGGTACTATTTCTGGGTAAGCGCAGTCTGTAACCTGAAGCACCTGTAACCCAAGGTACCACCGTATTCCTGTTTGCTCAGGGGGTTGGACTAGATGACACTGAAAGCCCCTTCTAACTTTACAGTTCTACGGTCTATGATACTTCTTTGTGGAAAGCAATGAACACACAAACGCAAACACACACCATATCTGTATTGGATTTGAAACCTTTTTTAAAAAAACAGAGGGTGCTGTTTTGAACTGTTTTCATATACAGAACTGTCCTGAACTGCTCTTCTTGTGGCTCGCTTTAACCGCGAAATCACTTTGAGATTTTTTCTTTAAATTGGAAGAGCTTCATAAATTGACTCAAATAAATAAATAGATAACGCACTTTGAGCAATAATTTCTAATTCGACCACCTTCAGCCAATTTTTTTTAAGCTCTTCCTATTTCCAGCCTTTGTGTACAAACTCAAGTGTTTCCAAGCATGGCATTATGGTAACTTGGGGGGGGGGCAGAGGAGGGGGGAGTTGCAGAAGAGGAACCCAACTCATTTCTCCTATTTCAAAAAGGCTGCAAAGGCTGGAAGGAGGAGCCCAAGGGAGAGGAAGAGATTTGAGCCAGGTTGCATTTAAAAGGCAAACTATGTGGTTTGCCTTTGGACGCAGGTGGTGCTGTGGGTTAAACCACAGAGCCTAGGACTTGCCGATCAGAAGGTTGGCGGTTCGAATCCCCGTGACGGGGTGAGCTCCCGTTGCTCAGTCCCTGCTCCTGCCAACCTAGCAGTTCAAAAGCACATCAAAGTGCAAGTAGATAAATAGGTACCGCTCTGGCAGGAAGGTAAACGGCGTTTCCGTGCACTGCTCTGGTTTGCCAGAAGCGGCTTAGTCATGCTGGCCACATGACCTGGAAGCTGCACGCCGGCTCCCTCGGCCAATAAAGTGAGATGAGCGCCACAACTCCAGAGTCGGCCATGACTGGACCTAATGGTCAGGGGTCCCTTTACCTTTACCTGGTTTGCACTTTTCAAAACAGTAGACGTGCCGAAACGCAGCCGTCCTTCAAAATCCGCCCGCCGCCGAATATTCGGTGCAGTTTTTCAGTCCAAAAAGACAGTGTGCATTCGAAGGCGCATATTGGTGAAGATAACCCAGGAAAATGTGTTGCATTAGGGGGGGAATTCCTTTGTGAAAATGCTTGTGCATTTGGCAATATTGCATGCGAGGGTGTGTCAATCTTAGGAGAAATTTGCACCCATATGACGGTGAGTTTTCAGGATGAGGTCTCTACACACACACACACACCCCGCAAACGGATGTGGAAATGTGGAGAATTTCCTAGGGGAGCCCCCAGCTTGCTGGTACCGCGTCCTCTCACACCAGGCTCCCTGCGGCATCTTGAATTCCATCTCTGTGCCCCGGGCAGCGACGGCAGCAGTCAGGTGGCGGCGGCTGTGTGGGTGGCCGTGTGGGTAACTGAAAGCGGCAGCTGTAGCAGCAGCAGGAGAAGAAGGAGGAGGAGACAGCAGCAGCCACAACTCGAGCTGAACTTCTTGAGAGTGAACTGGCTGAAGCAGGCAGGACGGGGGGAAAAGGAAGGAGGGCGCAGCTTGGAGATCAGGTATGGGGGGGGATGGGGAGCTGTGGAGAGGCAGAATATTCTCCCCCTGGAACTTTTGTAATGTCACACAGGCTCTCTAAGCTTGCAGTGAATATGTGTGTGTGTGTGTGTGTGTGTCAGAGGAGGGAAATAAGGTGTATACAGTCCTCATCTTGCTCGTAGAATCATAGAATTGTAAAGTTGGAAGGGACCCCGAGGGTCATCTAGTCCAACCCGCTTCAATGAAGGAATCTTTTGCCCAACGTGGGGCTCGAACCCACAATCCTCCGCTTAAGAGTCTCGTGCTCTACCGACCGAGCTATCAATCACAGAGTAGACCTGTGGATGTTATTGTTGTTGTTGTTTAGTCGTGTCCGACTCTTCGTGACCCCCTGGACCAGAGCACGCCAGGCACTCCTGTCTTTCACTGCCTCCCGCAGTTTGGTCAAACTCATGCTGGTTGCTTCTGGAACATTGTCCAACCATCTCGTCCTCCGTCGTCCCCTTCTCCTTGTGCCCTCCATCTTTCCCAACATCAGGGTCTTTTCCAGGGAGTCTTCTCTTCTCATGAGGTGGCCAAAGTATTGGAGCCTCAGCTTCACGATCTGTCCTTCCAGTGAGCACGCAGGGCTGATTTCCTTCAGAATGGATCAGTTTGATCTTCTTGCAGTCCATGGGACTCTCAAGAGTCTCCTCCAGCACCATAATTCAAAAGCATCCATTCTTCGGTGATCAGCCTTCTTTATGGTCCAGCTCTCACTTCCGTGGATGTTATTAGATGTGACTAACTTAGGTTCATTCATCTTACTGGGTCTACTCGGAGTATAACTTGGTCGGCTGTAACCCACACTTCCTCCCCGCCATCCCCTTGACAGCATTTTGTCACTTTTGAACATCCAGTTCTGCTGTCTCTTTTCACAGCAGCGAAAAGCAAGGGGTTGTTTCAGCTCCACACCAGGAAAAGTGTTTTGTTTTACCCCCCTCTTCGGGTTACAAACCTTAGTGAAAGTCTGGGCTGAATGGGGTGGTGGCCCCCTTTATAAACTGGCAAGCCTATTCTGCACCTGCCCTCGTCTGCCAGGCCTCGCAAGGCCAGATCTCAAATGGCAAAGGCTTTCCTCTTTCTATAAGTGCTTCTCTTGCCCAGGGCCGAAGCGGCAACTTGCCAGCGCTGCACAGTTATTTGAGGCTCAGGAGTGAGCTGGGGTTGCCAACTTTTAGGCTGGTCCCTCTGCCCTTTCAACAGCAGTTTGACGGGCAGTTGGCTAATGTTGGCTCTGTGCCATGGGAAGAAAGCGTCAACAGCAGAACTCTGTGAAAAGGAACAGGAGCAGATCACATGGCGAGAGGTTGGAAATGCTATGTTGGATATGCAATCTCAGGGCCTTAAGGTGACACCAGGCATGGGGAAATCGGTCAATTTCAGATCTGTTTCTCATTTTCCCAGTCTCAAATTCAGCTCTCCACATCTCCACACCAGTTTGCCAGTTGTTGCTGTTTTTTTAATAATTTTTTTATTAACAATTTCCACATAACAGTATATCAAAATATATCATATTCATTATTCCCCCCCTTTTTCCCCATTCCCCATCAAACCCCTCCTTCCCCCCACAAGACTTCCCTCAGCTCCTCTCTCAGATTTCTCAACACACATCACTCTCTGCATATTATAAAATTATTTCAATCCTTATATTATCTATCTACCGTGTTGCCAAACACAAAATTTGTGTATGTTGATTCAAAACCTGCCAAGGAGTCCAATTCATTTTGTTGTCTTTTTAAGTACTTTGTAAAAAGTTCCCATTCTTCTTTAAAGTCGCAGTTTTTGTTTTTTTACCCCCATGAGAATTCATCAGCATTTAAGTGTGGATTTCTCCTAACATGCCCATTTCCCCTATGCGATTTTTGCCTAATTTATGGATTTCGGGCAAAGTGGTTTCCTTAACGTAATGCACTTTGCATGCAGTTTTCACAGATATATGCATTCCACACTTTCTCCCCAATATTTGCACCTTTGCACACACCACTTGACTGAAGAACTACATTGCAAAATCCGGCTGTGTTTAGGTTTATGCATTGTTTCCAACAGTGCAAATTAAACCGGCTGACCTTTAACTACAAACTGAATCATGTTTCTCCCCTATCTCTAGTTACAACTCTGTAGATGGTCCTTCTGTATTCAGTGTGTAAGTTGGGGAATCTGGACGCGGAAGTCAGGATGGTGTCATTTGTTGTGTCGGTGTTAGAATGCTGCTTGTGTAACTCATGGGAAGTTGCCGTTGTGTAAATGCCAGAGGGAAACGCAACAATGGCAGTCAATTAGGAAGTGAGTTGCTGTTGTGGGAAGTTTTTAATGTGTGACATTTTAATGTATTTTTAATCTTTGTTGGAAGCAGCCCAGACTGTCTCGGGAAACCCAGCCAGATGGGCGGGGTACAAATAATAAATTGTTGTTGTTGTTTAGTCATTTAGTCGTGTCCGACTCTTCGTGACCCCATGGACCAGAGCATGCCAGGCACTCCTGTCTTTCACTGCCTCCCGCAGTTTGGTCAAACTCATGCTGGTAGCTTCGAGAACACTGTCCAACCATCTCGTCCTCTGTCGTCCCCTTCTCCTTGTGCCCTCCATCTTTCCCAGCATCAGGGTCTTTTCCAGGGAGTCTTCTCTTCTCCTGAGGTGGCCAAAGTATTGGAGCCTCAGCTTCACGATCTGTCCTTCCAGTAAGCACTCAGGGCTGATTTCCTTAAGAATGGACATGCTTGATCTTCTTGCAGTCCATGGGACTCTCAAGAGTCTCCTCCAGCACCAGAATTCAAAAGCATCAATTCAATCAGTATTGGAGCCTCAGCTTCAGGATCTGTCCTTCCAGTGAGCACTCAGGGCTGATTTCCTTCAGAATGGAGAGGTTTATTATTATTATTATTATTAGTCAGCTGAGCCATGGACTGCTCAGTCTGCTCTCCGGTGTGGGAGGGCTGCTTCGAGGTTATTTCTCTTTAAACCAGACCTTGAACAGACTATCTTTTGACAGCCCTTCAAGATCAAAAACTGGCCTTTGCAAAGTTGGAGACCAGGTCACCATCTCAAAAGGACATCTAGAGAGACAACTGGTGGCAAAAAAACCAAAACTTGTTGACTTTTTGCTCTTATTAGTGGGATGCCCTTTCTCAAAGAGATCCGTTTTGCACCTTGCTCAATGCTGCCTGCTAAGCAATTTTTTATTTGGAAAAGCATCTGCAAGTATAGGCCAATTTAGGTCTTCTGAACTCATGGTGTGTTCCTGGTAGGGGTGGGGAATAAATTTGATTTGGTGAAGCTGCCTAATTCAAAATACCATTTGAAGTAAAACACAACCTTCTTTGAAAGCCACACTTTTCTGAATTTTGTAATTCGGTTCTTCAGCCAAATATTGTGTGGACAAGTGCATATACAGGGCGATTCATAATGAAATATACAGTTTCCATTTATAGTGTGTTGAAACTGTATACTTCATTATGAATACCCTGTATTAGGATAAAGTGTGCGTATAGATGCATATGTTAATGAAAAAAAGAGCACACAGAAAAGCATCATATATGGGAAAATTGATTTGCAGAAATGTGTGTGTTGGACAAAATTGCATGCAAACTATATGCATTAGGGGAAATCCTCGTGAAAATGCTGATGAATTTACATGTTGACTTCTTTTTACTGCAAACTGATCTGGAAATGTGGCCTTGCTGATGTTTTGAACGAGAAGCAGAGAGAAAGCAAAACTGACAGATTTGTCTGTCCATGTTTCTGGGACTGCTGCTTTTATTCTTTCACCGTGTTGATTTATGCTTGTTGTTGTTTTATCAATTTTAATATTGATCTATGACCCCCCTAGAACATTCGGTTTCGAGTGGAAAGACAGCTCCGTAAACAAACTGAAAAATGTCTAAGTGAGGTTTTGTAGGTATGAGTTGTTGGGGAGGAAATAGAAAATAAGGTAAAGGGACCCCTGACCATTAGGTCCAGTCGTGACCGACTCTGGGGTTGCAGCGCTCATCTCGCTTTATTGGCTGAGGGAGCCGGCGTACAGCTTCCGGGTCATGTGGCCAGCATGACTAAGCCGCTTCTGGCGAACCAGAGCAGTGCACGGAAACGCCGTTTACCTTCCTGCCAGAGTGGTACCTATTTATCTACTTGCACTTTGACGTGCTTTCGAACTGCTAGGTTGGCAGGAGCAGGGACCGAGCAACGGGAGCTCACCCCGTCACGGGGATTTGAACCACCAACCTTCTGATCGGCAAGTCCTAGGCTCTGTGGTTTAACCCACAGCGCCACCCGCGTCCAAGAAAATAGGACCCTGCCTTATACTGAGTCAGGCCGTTGGCGTCCTTGTAGCTCAGCGGCTTTCCAGAGTTTTGGAGAGAAGCTGTTCCTAGCCCTAACTGGAGCTGCCGGGGACTGAACCTGTGACATTATGTATGTGAAGATGATGCTCTGTGGCTCTTCCCTCATTCTCCAACGTTCTGATTCTGGTGGCCTAATTCTGAGGGACGCCAGTGTTGGCACAGGAGCACTGCTTCCTATAAGACCCACGAGATGTGTTGGCTCCCAGCACCTCAAATTAAGTGTGACAGTTAGGTGGCAGAAAGTTGAGAGAGTGTCAGTGTGTGGTTGGAGCAGGAAACTTACAGGCGGAGAGTCAGCCGTTCCAGGAAACGGAGCTGTTTGAATGAGAAACCTACAGACAAAAAAAAAAAACCCTGAACGTTTGTTCCTGAACCCTGAACCTTTGTTCGCCTCACAGTGCTTTGTTTTTTCCTGGGCGTGCTCAGTGGGCAGGCACCCCAAGTGGTGCGGGCTGGGGGGTCTGCAGCCCCCCGAAAAATTCAAGGAGGGGGCTGGGCTCCCCCAAAACCCTGTGGCCTGCTCCACGGCCTTCTCCCCACCATGTCGTGCAGGGAGGAGAAAGCCAAGTGTGGCGACCAGTTCCGCGCTCCCCATTACCCAGCCGGCATGCCAGCACTGGCATCGTGCGCTAGGTGGGGGGTGGGACATGATGAGCGGTTGGAGGATGGATGGCGGCTAACAGATTGAGGTTGAATCCTGACAAGACAGAAGTACTGTTTTTGGGGGACAGGAGGCGGGCAGGTGTGGAGGACTCCCTGGTCCTGAATGGGGTAACTGTGCCCCTGAAGGACCAGGTGCGCAGCCTGGGAGTCATTTTGGACTCACAGCTGTCCATGGTGGCGCAGGTCAATTCTGTGTCCAGGGCAGCTGTTTCTTAATTCTAGACGGTATTGGGACATTGTGTGGCAAGGTCCCAAACCCTCCTGCGAAGTGAAATAAAGAGACACAAAACAGTATTTTAGGTTAATGGGCGAAAAAGGCCACAACTTCATTGGTTACAGAATGTGAGTGGTATTGGCTTAGGCATTGGAAACCACACGACTATATCTGACTCCTGCCCGTCTGCAGGAGTCTTGGAAGGGTTAACCACCAGAAGGGGGAGCCCTGCTCATGCAGATCAACTAGGAACTCCCCCAGGGTCACCGCTAGAGGTCGTGCCATGGTCCCAGCCCCCAGTCTGGGGCTTCGGACAGAGATCACGCCCGCTGGATTCCTTTAACGCAGCGGTTCTCAACCTGAGGGTCCCCAGATGTTGTTGGACTACAACTCCCATCATCCCTCAACTCTGGCCTTGCTAGCTAGGGGTGATGGGAGTTGTAGTTCAACAACATCTGGGGACCCACAGGTTGAGAAAGGTTGCTTTAACGGAATACCGAGCAGGGAGAAAACAGGGGCAAGCCCTCGGCCGCAGGAAGTTTAAATAGCCCGTGCCACGCCCCTGGACCATCCGGATTGGACGGCCTAGGGATGATGTGGCCAAGGACCATCCAATGGCGCAAGGGCTAGCCCGCCCAATGCACGTGGGGAGGGCTTGCTCCTAGCCCGCAACATCATCTCCCCAGGAACGGGAAATGGCTTTACAGTGGTACCTCAGGTTAAGAACTTAATTCGTTATGGAGGTCAGTTCTTAACCTGAAACTGTTCTTAACCTGAAGCACCGCTTTAGCTAATGGGGCCTCCTGCTGCCGCCGGAGCACGATTTCTGTTCTCATCCTGAAGCAAAGTTCTTAACCTGAGGTACTATTTCTGGGTTAGCGGAGTCTGTAACCTGAAGAGTCTGTAACCTGAAGCGTCTGTAACCTGAGGTACCACTATACATTCAAATTGTATGCATTGGAGCTCTAAGTGTTGTCTATGTTCATTCCACACACTCACGGAATCAATCCTTCAGTGTGTTGGCTCCTCCTCTTTGGAACTCCCTGCCCATTGATGAAATTAATACAGTGGTACCTCAGGTTAAGGACTTAATTCGTTCCGGAGGTCCGTTCTTAACCTGAAACTGTTCTTAACCTGAGGTACCACTTTAGCTAATGGGGCCTCCCGCTGCCGCCGCACGATTTCTGTTCTCATCCTGAAGCAAAGTTCTTAACCCAAGGTACTATTTCTGGGTTAGCGGAGTCTGTAACCTGAAGTGTCTGTAACCTGAGGTACCACTGTAATAATAATAATAATAATTTTGTTATTTATATGCCGCCCATCTGACTGGGTTGCTCCAGCCACTGTGGGCAGCTTCCAACAAAATATTAAAACACAAAACTGGCAACTGCCTTTGTAGTATTGTGTTTGGCATCTGCCCAAAACTTTTTTGTTGAGGTGGGTCTACCCAGCCATGTAATTATAAGCTGCCACAACCATAATAAGATAACCCACCCACCTCTGCTGCAACCCCAAACGTTATGAATGGGAGACCTGATTAGACTCTCATTCCTACCCATTCATTCTTCCCTGCATCTGTTTATTTTAATATTGAATTTCAGTTGGATGGGCTTTATTGGTTTAGTAGCTGATTGTTGCTTAATTTTTTTTGCGTTCCCTCATACAGTATGCTGCTTGGAGAAATGTTTTTATTAGGCAGCTAATAAAGGGATTGAATAAATGAATCATTTTGGAATGAAAGCAAATTAACCGGGCTCCAATTGTTGCTGCCCTGCTCCCGCACACCAACTGTGCACCTACTAGTATTTCTCTCTGTGCAGATAGTTCAGAGACACCACAAGCTTCCAGGACTCTCTCTTCATGGGGGAAATGGCTTCCATGAAACTTCAGGAAAATGAAGCCTGATGTCAGGAACCGGAGTCAGGCATGATCAGCGAGAAAATACAGACGTATCTCAGCTCCCAAACGCCTTGGGAGTCAAACGTTCCGGCTCCCAAACGATCGAAAACCGGAAAGGAGTGTTACGGTTTTCAAACATCCTTTTGGAAGCCGAACATCCAACATGGCTTCCGATGGAAGCTCCTGCAGCCAATCAGAAGCCACGTTTTGGTTTCTGAACGTTTCGGAAGTCGAACGGACTTCTGAAACGGATCCCGTTCGACTTCCGAGGTACGACTCTACCCAGTGTAGGTGAAGTTAACTCTTTATTCAAAGAAACCAAAACAGCAGAGGCCTAGTGATTACAGCAACTCTTCCCATTAGGTCTCCCCAAATGAGGCATTTTTGGGGGCTGATTCCTCCTCTCCCTGGGTCCTTCCCAAACAATTAGAATTCAAATAAAATCTGCGGCACTCTGGGGCTGACTGCTTAGCCCACCGCCATCTTGACCAGAAGCCAAATGTTGAGCTTTTTTTTAGGATTTTACCCCAGGAAATAAACTGCCACAGGCGCTGGATTAAACTGACCGGCAGGCTGTATACTCCCAAACAATCTCAGGCTCCTTCATCTATTTTCTCGTTGCTCTCCCCTCTTCACTCCTCTATGTTTTCTGGGAGACTAGTGGTGAGGCAAATTGGTTACAGCAGGAGGGAGAGACTCCCTGGCTCAGGGGTCAGCAAGGGGTCGGTTCCCTCTGTGGGTCAGATCGTGCACGCGCATGAGTGTGTGTGGCCACAATTTCCAGCATCTGCGCCTGTGCAAACACGCTTTTCTGCATCTGAGCATGCTCAGACGCTCCAGCACCGTGGAAGCGAGTCCCCACACTGTGCTGCTCTGGTTTAGCGCAGTATACGGGGACTCGCTGAGCGGGTGGCTCAGTTCGGGGGTGGCTCGGGGGCCAGTTAAACAACCTCTGTGGGCTGCTTATGGCCCATGGGCCTTAGGTTGCCTACCCCTGCCCTGGCTTCTTCAGCAACCTGTCTCATCCCTGTCTCCTGGCCCCCTTCCTCTCCTGCCACTGATTCTGGACTGCTCTCTGCCCCAGCCTCTCCCTGCTCACTAAACCCCGTTGCCTCTTCAGCTTCCAACATCTCCTCCTCCCCATCTGCCCCCTCTTCTCCCTTGAACCGCCATCCCACCACCAATCCCCTGGCTCTGAGCCTTCTTCCCCTGGGGGTTCCCTTGGGGTTCCCCAACTGGTACCTCTCACAATTCCTCTGCATCCAGCCAGTCCATGACATCTGATCGTTTAGTCACTGGCTCTCCAGTGGACTCTAAGCAAGGAGTGCAGAATACAAAAGAGGTAATGTTAGATGCCAAGTGTGCAATTAGATACCTTTGGTCCTCTCTGTGACTGGTGTGGGTGTTTAATTAAAAGATGGACAGCTCGTTTTCCCAGACCAGTTTCATCCAGAGGTGGAAAGCGCTGGCAGAAGTTGCACAATTTGAAGGCAGAGAAGTAATAATAATAATAATATTTTTTTATTTATACCCCGCCCATCTGGCTGAGTTTCCCCAGTCACTCTGGGTGGCTCCCAATCAAGTATTAAAAACAATACAGCGTTAAATATTAAAAACTTCCCTGAACAGGGCTGCCTTCAGATGTCTTTTAAAAATAGGATAGCTACTTATTTCCTTCACATCTGAAGGGAGGGCGTTCCACAGGGCAGGCGCCACTACCGAGAAGGCCCTCTGTCTGGTTCCCTGTAACCTCACTTCTCGCAATGAGGGAACCGCCAGAAGGCCCTCAGCGCTGGATTTCAGTGTCCGGGCAGAAAGATGGGGGTGGAGACCCTCCTTCAGGGATACAGGACCGAGGCAGTTTAGGGCTTTAAAGGTCAACACCAACACTTTGAATTGTGCTCGGAAACGTACTAGGAGCCAATGCAGATCTCTCAGAACCGGTGTTATGTGGTCCCGGCGGCCACTCCCAGTCACCAGTCTAGCTGCCGCATTCTGGATTAATTGCAGTTTCCGGGTCACCTTCAAAGGTAGCCCCACGTAGAGCGCATTGCAGTAGTCTATTTGCAAACGTGCAGCATCTTAACTCATCCTTTCCACAACTCCCCTAATACGAGGACTTTCTGCACTTAATCGAGCCATTGGAGAAGTTCATTTGATTCACCTTTCCAATGCAAACCTGCAAAATTCACTCTTCTCAAGCCGAATCGAAACACAGCTTTCCTTCTGAAGCCGCACTTTCTCTGAATTTTGCAATGCAGTTATCCAGCCAAAGAATGAATGCAAAAAAAAAAAATTCTTAGTCGTGAAAAGTATGTTCAAAAAGGCAGTTGGTATTGGTGAAAATGATGCGCAGAAATGCATTGGGTTCCAGGGAAATTGCTTGCAATATAAGTGAATTCTAGGCAAAATTGCATAAGAAAATGTGTACATTGGAAAGAGCACGTTCTCAAATGTGCATGAGTTTTCACGCAGACTTTTTATGAACAAATTTGTAGTCTCATGCAGCACTGGGATGAGCTTGCCTGCTAAGGAGTTGTTGCTGTTTAGTCGTTTAGTCGTGTCCGACTCTTCGTGACCCCATGGACCAGAGCACGCCAGGCACTCCTGTCTTCCACTGCCTCCTGCAGTTTGGTCAAACTCATGCTGGTAGCTTCAAGAACACTGTCCAACCATCTCGTCCTCTGTCGTCCCCTTCTCCTTGTGCCCTCCATCTTTCCCAGCATCAGGGTCTTTTCCAGGGAGTCTTCTCTTCTCATGAGGTGGCCAGAGTATTGGAGCCTCAGCTTCAGGATCTGTCCTTCCAGTGAGCACTCAGGGCTGATTTCCTTCAGAATGGATCGGTTTGATCTTCTTGCAGTCCATGGGACTCTCAAGAGTCTCCTCCCAGTAGCCCAATGGGTCAGTGGATCAGGATCCCTGCATTGCTGGAAGTTGGGGCTAGATCACCCTCACAGTCCCTTCCAGTTCTACAATTCTGTGATTCTAAGTGGGGTTAGGATTGCAGCCTTGTTTGTTTTTGATGGCTTTCCCCCAACTTGCTTGCATGATAGACAGGTCGGCAGGCAGGCAATTGCAGACAGGCAATTTCCCAGGCTGCCCCCATCACTGTGTCATTCTGGAACATTCTGGAAGAAAATGGCACCTCCTCCACACACACACAGTTGGTCACCTTTTGCTCTTGTCCCAAATCATGCAGTGCCCTAGGCATTCTGGGAAAATAAAATAAGATCAGTTGCTTTCACTAGAGAAAGGTGAGCTTGCTGTGAATGAGCAACAAACTGCTATGAGCAGGAGAATGGAACCGGCACCATTTATCATGCCCATTCATTCCTCAAGGCATTTTTTTCATGCTGAATTAAACCTGAATGGGCCCCCGTTTGGTTCAGTTGTTCATTCACTGCAAAATAAACGCAACATCCCTGCGGCACAGTGCAGCTGCACTAGTTTAACTTGGTAAAAAAGACTTGCGCAGTACAATCCTATGCTGGTCTACTCAGCCATAAGCCCCATTAAGTTCAATGGGACTTGCTCCCAGGTAAGGATTGCAGCCTAAGGAAGATATATGTAAGAGCTTAATTTGGAGTCATGTTCAGTGCAAAGAAAGGAGGTCTTTATGGTTGTCACTGCTGCAGTTTTGTTCCAGTGGAAAAAAACCTGATAACATCTCAAGCTAAAAGATCTTCTGCTCTTTAGTATGTAGATGGTGTGCATTTATAGGTTGGGGGTGGGGAGGTTTTCCTCTTTAGCTCTGTCAATTCTGCCAAAACTCTATGCAAAAAACTGACAAGGTTAAACTCGTAACAACCTGATCATTCTTTATTGCAATTTATTTGCACTGGAGCAAACTAAGCTGGCTGAATTCGAGTCCCACTGAAATCAACGGGCCAAGTTAAACATGGCTGAAGCCTCATTGATTTCAGTGGGGCTGGACTAAATGAGCCTGGATGCAACCCACCATTGTTTAATTACCATATTTTTCGCTCTATAACACGCACCCGACCATAACACGCACGTAGTTTTTAGAGGAGGAAAATCTGTAGGCATGCCACCCGTAGGCATTCCCTTCATAACACGCACAGACATTTCCCCTTACTTTCTAGGAGGAAAAAAGTGAGTGTTATGGTGCAAAAAATACGGTATGTGTCTATGGTGTCTCTTCTGTATTCATACTCTTTGGTGTGAAGGGTGATTCATTTCATGGGGACCAGATTCCATTTTCTCTTTACATGGTCTTTTTTTCCTTGCCCTTTGCTGGGATCAAGTGGACTTGGTGGTCTCACAGCCTTTCATTCTCACGTAGATATGGGCAGGAAGTACTGCAAAATGATTACCCCACCCCACTCACTCGGTGGTTAGGTTTTTCGGCAACAGGAACTTCACCTGTGACAATTTTGTGCTCCCTTGCAGACATAAGCAAGGCAGGGAATTCACAAAGTAAGCGCCACCCTATGTTAAATGTGGAGGAACTGCTGGGATCGGAGGCACCAGCTTGCCAGGGTGATTGGGAGAGCCAACGTTGCGCGTGGACCTCACACATGGGACGTCAGGACACTGGGAGGAGATGCAGGCAGAGTCAAACACAGCAGCCATACAGGAGGAGGGAAGGAGCTGGCCACTGGAGTTGGGCTGCAGTCAGCTCCACGTTTCCCCTTCGCAATTTGTGGACATTGGGGGACCCGGCCTCTACCTGGCCCCTACCCCAAAGATATATGGTGGCCCTGAAATGGCTTGTAATCTGGGGAACCGGGTTTGCTTCCCCGCTCCTCCACATGCAGCTGCTGGGTGACCTTGGGCCAGTCACACTTCTCTGAAGTGTCTCAGCCCCACTCACCTCACAGAGTGTTTGTTGTGGGGGAAGAAGGGAAAAGAGAATGTTAGCCGCTTTGAGACTCCTTCGGGTAGTGATAAAGCGGGATATCAAATCCAAACTCCTCTTCTTCTTCTTGTGAGGACTCAATGAGGAGGGAGGAACCATCTATGCCACCTTGAAGAAAAAGGTGGGATAGAAACACAATAATTAAAATAATAAATTGAGCTGGCCTTTGGCATGATGCTGCCAATGTTCTTCCCGGTCTGCCTCTGGCTCCATTGTCTCCTCACTGCTGCTTCTGCCACCCCATCAAGGATTGTGAATGCCACCCCCCCTCCATGACATGGCGGCATGGAAGTTGGAATACCAAACTAGGACCTGGGAGACCAGAGTTCGAATCCCAGCTCCGCCACGAAGTTCACTGGGTGATCTTCGGCCAGTCACAAGGCTTTCTCGGCAGACATTCTGGGATCAAATCAGAAAGCGTGACGGCTTCTGTAAATCCAGGACTGTCCCTGGAAAATAGGGACACTTGGAGGGTCTGTGTTTGTTTTCCCTTCCGGTGAGGCTCACCCATCCAAGGTTCCACTCACTGGCTGACTTCATTTCCATCCAGTATACAGTGGTACCTTGGTTCTCAAACTTAATCTGTTCCAGAAGTCCGTTCCAAAACCAAAGCGTTCCAAAACCAAGGCACGCTTTCCCATAGAAAGCAATGCAAAACGGATTAATCCGTTCCAGACTTTTAAAAACAACCACTAAAACAGGAATTTAACATGAATTTTACTATCTAACGAAATGAAAGCAAGAAACAGTGTGCTGCAGTCACACAGTCAATCATTCAGTAGCTGAACTGGGTTCCACACAGTCACAAAAAAACAAAACAAAAGAGCTGCAAAAAGAAAAACGCAAAATAAATAGCAAAACCCGACAGACCTCAGTGTAACACTCAAAACGGAAGCATAACACTCAAAACAGAGCACGTTCAGCTTCCAAAAAACGTTCACAAACCGGAACACTTACTTCTGGGTTTGCAGTGTTTGGGTTTCAAGTTGTTTGAGTACCAAGGCACTTGAGAACCAAGGTAAAAGGTAAAGGTAAAGGGACCCCTGACCGTTAAGTCCAGTCGCGAACGACTCTCAGGTTGCGGTGCTCATCTCGCTTTACTGGCTGAGGGAGTCGGCGTTTGTTTGCAGACAGATTCCAGGTCATGTGGCCAGCATGACTAACATGTTTCCACAGAAACGCCGTTTACCTTCCCGCCGGAGCAGTGCCTATTTATCTACTTGCACTTTGACGTGCTTTCGAACTGCTAGGTTGGCAGGAGCAGAGACCGAGCAACGGGAGCTCACCCCATCGCGGGGATTCGAACCGCCGACCTTCTGATCGGCAAGCCCTAGGCTTTGTGGTTTAGACCACAGAGCCACCCGCCACTATATAAATATCAAATTTAACACATCAAATTTAAATAAGACAGCATCTTATTTAACCATGCCAGCTTCCAGCCATCCCCTTGCAGTGCCATTTTGCAAACTGCTTCGCTCCTGGTTTCTTTTCGGGGCAGCTTGTGCCTGGCATTGACTTGTGCAGGGTTCACTGAGCAAACACTTCCCCCTCGCCCCCCCTCCTCCAGCATCCAATATCCAATTTCAAGCCCTCCTGCAGCTGCCTGCTGCTTTTCACCCAGCAAAGTCAATCAGATGTCATTCCCGACCATTGCCTTGGTGACCACAGCAGCCTCCAGCGATACAGAGGAGCCGACAGCATAGCCGCTCCATGTGCCAGGGAAACTTTTGCTAACTCAGCGGGTTGCGGGACGGAGAGGGGAAATGCTGTCCGGAATGGATAAGCGACTTCTCTGTTAAATTCCCGGGCTTGCCACAGACGCTAAAACTATAACAGCCAAGGCAGTTGCGAGAGCCTCTCCAACAACGTCTGCTTTCTTCTCCTCACAGAGACCGACATGTCTCCTTTTCTCCGTATTGGATTGTCCAACTATGACAGCGGTCCCTATCTCCCTTCCCAGGGAGATGTGATCGATCCGTATTGCGCAGTGATAGTCAAGGAAGCAGTGGAGTCGGGTAAGTGCTTTATTCTTACGTTTGAGCATGCATGCGCGTAATAACAACAACAATATTTTATTTTATTTTTATATGCCGCCCATCTGACTGGGTTTCCCTAGCCACTCTGCGAGGCTTCCAGCAAAATATTGAAGACACAGTGAAATGTCAAACCTTAAAAACATTCCCTGTACAGGGCTGCCTTCAGATGTCTTCTAAAAGTCATATGGCTGTTTATCTGCTTGACATCTGACAGGAGGGTGTTCCACAGGGTGGGTGCCACTACCGAGAAGGCCCTCTGCCTTTACCTTCACTTCTCACAGTGAGGGAACTGCCAGAAGACCTTCATATCTGGACCTCAGTGTCCAGGCTGAACAATGGCCAATGGTCAGGGCTGGCCAACCTGTGAGGCAAGGGGAGGTGACAGCCTCAGGCGGCAGGATCCGCAGGGACAGCAGATCCCAATGTAGATATTTGTGGGCCACCCACAAATATTGTTCTTGATCTTCACTCACCCTTCTTCCCTGGTGGGGAAGGGGGTGCCATTTTGTGGTTCGCCTCAGGCGCCAAAATGTCTTGGGCCAGCCCTACTAGGGGAGATGCAGCCTGAGTCTATCCAGAGTGAGTTTCAAATCACACATTAACATTGATTGATTGATTGATTGATTGATTGATTGTTGATCGATTGATAACATTTGTATACCCTGCTCTCCAGCCTAAAAGCATTCCAGAGCGGCTTACATATACAGTAGTCAAAACAAGACAGCACCTGCTTGCAAGGTTACAGTCTAGAGAAGCACGACACACAAGGGGAAAGGAACAAGGAGGGCAGAGGAAAATCAAAACTCAGGCACCAATTTCTAAAGAATTGGTGTTCCTACAATGGCCGACTGGCACAGTTCAGGGGCAGGAGGGAAATGGTGGAGTGAGTTCTGCTTCCCAGCTCTCCCACTGCTGGAATGGCTGTCTCAGATGAGGGAGGGAGGCCTGATGCAGTCGGTATTTTATATGTTCTTGTCTGTCATGGTTTTATTTTCAAAACAAGATTCATATAGAATCATGGAATTCTAAGTTGGAAGGGACCATGAGGGTCCTCTAGTCCAACTCCCTGCAATACAGAGTTGTTCTTGTTGTTGTTGTTTTTAAAAATGCCCACTGTGGGACTCGAACCCACATCTCATGCTCTACCAATTGAGCTAGCCTAGCTGTTGTTGTTAATTGTTATGTTGCCCATTCATTCATTCAATTTATATCCTGCTCTTCCTCCCAAAGGAGTCCAGGAACGGCAAACGCAGCCATGATTATTTTCAAATATTCTAACAACAGTTTTACAAAATTGTCTCGGAGTTGCCGGAATCTGAGAGATGCCAGGAGCAGTGTCTTTCAGCCATCAAACAGGAATGATTTTAGATGCCTCCTCAAAGTCAGTAACGAGGAAGACAGGTGTACCTCACCGGGGTAGGCGTTCCACAAATGGGGAGCCACCACAGAAAAGGCTCTGTAGCAGGTTGGTGACAACAGAGCAGCCTGCAGTTGGGTCAGAGAAAGAGCAGATAGAGACTACTTCATCCTTTCCCTCCTGTTCATTTCCCAGCTCCAAAATTGCCCTCCGTCAGCTGCTTTTTTTACCCACAGGGAGAAAGATTCAATTGTCCCATCTTTCCCCCCAAAGTTTTCTACATGCCTGAGTACTATTTCTTTTCTTCTCTTCTTCTTTTTGTCTTATCTTACTCTGTACACTTGTAATTATGTATTTTTTAATCTTTTAATAAAATAAGAAGAGGTAAAGCAGCTTGCTCAGGCTAGATTTTTTTCTCTTTTTTCCTTTTTGAGGGGGAAACAACTACAGCAAAAGGAAGGGATTAAGCATGGGAACATTGGAAATTGTCTTTATCCTATCGAGTTCAGTATTGTCTGCACTGGCAGCTCTCCTGGATTTCAGACAGGGAGTCATTGCCAGCCCTAACTAGGACTTGAACCCGCAGCCTTCTACATGCCTAGCAGATGTTCTGCCACTTAGCTATGACACTGGCCCTAATTCTCTCTAGTCGGCCTTCCTTTGTCCCACCCAACTTGCAGCCTTCCCAAGTGAATTTTGACTTTCTTTTCAAAAAGAAAAAAAGCAGAATAAATAATTTGTATTTTAAAGTGCCTAGTTTGGGCTACTTTATTCTCCCTGTTTTCAGCATGCAGCAGTATTTAAGTGTCACGCGATTTTAAGGAACGATTTAGGACTTGGCCATTCCAGAACTCCTCAATATGAATGGAAATCATCAGGAATCTACCTTATTTTGTAAGGCGCTCCAATTTCAGAACTGTGTAAAATAGGCCTTTATTCAAAACAGTGGCGCTAAGCAAAGAAAAGTACCTTTCAAAAGGAAAGAAAAAAGGTGCTATTGTAGTCCTTTTAAAAAAAACACACCCAAAGAATAATCTTGAGATCCAAGAGTGCCGGCAAGCTAAAAATAATCCCTCTTAATGCAGAAAAGCATTTAGTCTTGCACAGAAAGGTCAGGGAACTTAATACACACACACACATCCCATAATGTCTTGTTGGGGAAAGAGCCAGCAAACTAAGAAGCTTTATAGAATCATGTTGCTTTGATGGAGAGGCTGAAATTGCTTAAACGAACCACCCTCAAAAGAAATGGCTCCTTCTCCGCCAATATTACTGCCCATTAATTAAATACACTGCAATCCACATAAGTCTCGAGGCAATTAATAGGATCTTATGAGATGTCTGGAAAACCCAGAGAGATACTGCTGCTTAGCCGACATTGGCTCAGCAGGTAAGACACAGCCACAGAACGTCAAGAAAAGTCCTTGGACCTGGGATAATTCATCAGCCTCTATGTCCATCATCTGTCCCAGTCTCTATGTCCATCATCTGTGCCTCCTCCACGTTAGGTCCAGAGGGTAGCAATGTGAGAACGGGGCCTTTTCTGCAGTGGCTCCCAGTTTGTGGAATACTCTTCCTCTTCAAACGGGTCTTTGGCTGATTAATATTCTACAGCCTTTAAAATGTGTCATGCTTTTTTGTTTTAATCATTCACTAGCTTCAACCCTGTATTTTATTCTGTCTTGTTTTCACCCTGTATTTTATGCGACTTGTTTCAGCTCTGAAATCTTATGATGGTATATACATCTAATTAATAATAATCCAGGTCAAGCAAAAGTGTGAATGAGCCCCTATGTGATCTGATATTATTATTATTATTATTATTATTATTATTATTATTATATCCTGCCCATCTGACTGGGTTTCCCCAGCCATTCTGAGTGGCTCCTGACAGAATAATAATAATAATAATAATAATAATAATAATAATAATAATAACCATTAAAAACTTCCCTAGACAGGGCTGCCTTCAGATGTCTTCTAAAAGTCAGATAGTTGTTTAACAAAGCAAGCCTTCCATCTTCCTCAATGTTGCATGCATTTATGAGTTGAAATGGAGGAAATTCAGGGAGCAGGGCTGAACTTAAACTGCCTTGCAGATGATTCTGTTATTTTATTCGAACCTGCTGCCCACAAAGCAGGTGGCCCTGAAACAGGAGCCCGCAGGTGAGTAGGGCTGCTGTTGCCACTTCAGAAGAAAGGCTTTGATGAATCCTGATGAATCGTGCAGAGGATGAACTCACTGCCCTTTCAAAACTCCTTTTGACCAAACAGGCCACCTGGATACCTGCGGCCTTCGGCCACCTGCCTGCCTTGGTGACATTTGCTTTTTGGAAGGCTCTGGTGTGTCTTTGAACTCTGCAGAATGAAGAGTTTCAAAGTCAAGCCTCAGCCGTCCCTCCTCTAGTTATTTCCAGGATGGATTGCTGCAATGCGCTCTACATGGGGCTGCCTTTGAAGACTGTATGGAAGCTCCAATTAGTTTGGAAAGCAGCTGCTAAACTGCTAATAAGAGACCCAGGAGGTGGGATCATTTCACGCCTGTTTGGAAAGAATGCATTGGTTTCTTGTCCGTTTCCAGGCTCAAAGTGCTGGTGCTTCCCTTTGGTATATGACCCAAATATTATTGATTGATTGATTGATTGATTGATTGATTGATTGCATGGCCATTTAAATGTGAGCATTCATAATTTAAATGCACAATAGAACATTCCCATTAAAACATGCACAGGGAATGTTTTTCAGCCCACTGGTCACATTCCCTTTTGGGGTGGTGAGTCTTCTTCTTCTTCTTCTTCTTCTTCTTCTTCTTCTTCTTCTTCTTCTGTGATACCTCATAGCCAAGTGTCTTCCAAAAACACAGTTTTAACAGTGAGTCTGTAAGTGACTGTGAAGGCCAGTTCTGGATCCACACATCCATCCACATTGGGGACATAGGTTTCCAGGTGGGAGTTGGTCACGGTGTGGATTTGCCAAACGTGCCTTCCAATAATAATAATAATAATAATAATAATAATAATAATATATTTATACCCTGCCCATCTGGCTGGGTTTCCCCAGCCACTCTGGGCGGCTTCCAACAAAGTATTAAAATATGGTAGTCTGTTAAACATTAAAAGCTTCCCCAAAGAGGGCTGCCTTCAGATGTCTTCTAAAAGTCTGGTAGTTGTTCTTCTCTTTGACATCTGATGGGAGGGCGTTCCACAGGGCAGGTGCCACCACCAAGAAGGCCCTCTGCCTGGTTCCCTGTAACTTCTCGCAGTGAGGGAACGGCCAGAAGGCCCTTGGCGCTGGACCTCAGTGTCTGGGCAGAACGATGGGGGTGGAGACGCTCCTTCAGGTATACTGGACCGAGGCTGTTTAGGGCTTTAAAGGTCAGCACCAACACTATGAATTGTGCTCGGAAACATACTGGGAGCCAATGTAGGTCTTTCAAGACTGGTGTTATGTGGTCTCGGCGGCTGCTCCCAGTCACCAGTCTAGCTGCCACATTCTGGATTAGTTTCTCCCTTTCGTCCTGAGTTCGAGCATCTTCAAAGCCCATGACACCTTTGGTAAAGGCTATTCTCCAATTGGAGCACTCGCAGGCCAGTGTTTCCCAGTTGTCGGTGTTTATACTACATTTGCCTTGAGAGAGTCTTTGAACCTCTTTTGTTGCATTACGCTTCCAATTTTTAAGTAGGGGCAGAGGGGGAAGTATTTGCTCTGGATGAGATGCAACTATTCAAATAAATCCTTTTGACCCTAGAGAACGGCCAGTCCTACGTCCAGAAGAAGCCCACCATGTACCCACCTTGGAACAGCACTTTCGATGCTCACATCCACAGGGGGCGTGTAATGCACATCGTTGTGAAGGACAAGAGCGCCGAAATGGTCGCAGAAACGACGGTAGAACTCAATTTGATTGCAGAGAAGTGCAAAAAGAAGAATGGGAAATCAGAAATCTGGGTAAGCGCCAGAGCCGTTGCTCACTTGCAGGGCCGGATTTAGATTTGATGAGGCCCTAAGCTACTGAAGGTAATGGGGCCCTTTCTATGTCCAGCTGTCCTTTGTCAACAACAAATTGTTACTGTTTTTTGTGTTGAATATATGCTATATGGTAATTTATGGACTTAATAGATATCTCAAGCCCTTTGCACATGTTGCCATGTAACCAGTCCATGCAGAATGTAAGGTAAAGGGTAAAGGGAACCCTGACCATTAGGTCCAGTCGTGACCGACTCTGGGGTTGCGGCGCTCATCTCGCTTTATTGGCAGAGGGAGCCGGCGTACAGCTTCCGGGTCACGTGGCCAGCATGACTAAGCCACTTCTGGCGAACCAGAGCAGCGCACGGAAACGCCGTTTACCTTCCCACCGGAGCGGTACCTATTTATCTACTTGCACTTTGACGTGCTTTCGAACTGCTAGGTGGGCCGGAGCAGGGACCGAGCAACAGGAGCTCACCCCGTCGCGGGGATTCGAACCGCCGACCTTCTGATCAGCAAGCCCTAGGCTCTGTGGTTTAACCCACAGCGCCACCTGCGTCCTTTAGAGAGATGTTCTACCACTGAGCTAATTAATGGAGACTCTTTTCCTTAAAAGCCATCTGCAGTCAATGGGAGTTGCCAGTTCCTGCAGAATTGAAACACTTGATTTCAATAAGCCTGCTGTGAATTTGCTCAGTCTGAAGGACACTCTTCTAATAGACTTTGCTTAGATTTTTTTTTTTAAAAATCCCCTTTGGGCAGGAAGAATAATTGGCAGTAATAAAACTGACTTGAGCTTGAATTCGTTCATGCCTCGCCAGGGATTTTACTCCAAAAACGTAATGGAAAGCTTAATGAAGAAATGTAGAGAACTGTATAGATCATGATGCAACTGTCCTGGAAGCTTTCGAAATGCACTTGTGTAAAACATTATTGCTGGCGACGCAGTACCTCTGGTGCTCTGGTTATCTCCCGCTTGGACTACTGCAATGCGCTCTACGTGGGGCTACCTTTGAAGGTTACCCGGAAACTACAACTAATCCAGAATGCGGCAGCTAGACTGGTGACTGGGAGTGGCCGCCGAGACCACATAACACCGGTCTTGAAAGACCTACATTGGCTCCCAGTACGTTTCCGAGCACAATTCAAAGTGTTGGTGCTGACCTTTAAAGCCCTAAAAGGCCTCGGTCCAGTATATCTGAAGGAGCGTCTCCACCCCCATCGTTCAGCCTGGACACTGAGGTCCAGCTCCGAGGGCCTCCTGGCGGTTCCCTCGCTGCAAGAAGCCAAGTTACAGGGCACTAGGCAGAGGGCCTTCTCGGTAGTGGCACCCGCCCTGTGGAACGCCCTCCCACCAGATGTCAAAGAGAACAACAACTACCAGACTTTTAGAAGGCAGCCCTGTTTAGGGAAGCTTTTAATGTTTGATGTATTACAGTATTTTAATATTTTTGGGGGAAGCCGCCCAGAGTGGCTGGTGAAGCCCAGCCAGATGGGTGGGGTATAAATAATAAATTATTATTACTGAGGATCAGTGACGTATTGACCTTCTTACATTTGTGATCACCAGACTGAATGATAAAGGCAGGAGAGGGTGCTGAATGCCTAGGTATGAACTGCACAGTGCAATCCTGTTGCAGAGTTGGGGCAGGTTCAGAAAAGGGGCAACCCAAATGGTCCCCTATTTAGATGACTTTAGAAGAGGTTTAGCTGAATTTGTGGGCTATCGATGGCTATGAGCCATGATGGCAAAGCTCTGCCTCCACTCTGGAAGTGTGCTGGTCCCGAGGGTTATCCGTGTGGCGAGGTCCGAGTCCGATCCAAGGTCGAGGGTGCGGTATGGAGGCTGTCCTTCAAAGCTGTAGCTGGGTCCAAGGCAGGGAGTCAGGTGGGGTCAGGAACTCTGGCAGAAGAGCAGGACAGGGTGCAGGCAGGAACCGGCTAGAAACAACGTTGCTCCCGCAACCTGGGACTGGGGCTGACTGGCTTTTATCTGCCCCGAGGCATAGAGCGGCCCCGGTCCACAGGTGACTCGCCTCTCCTGGCCTGGAAGCGAGCACTCCTCCTGCGGGAACTTAGTTCCCTCTATCTTTCTGCCCTGAGCCTCTGCAGCTCAGGAGAGGCTGGAGGGTTACCGGACCCAGAGGCAACCTCCGCTTCCCCTGACGGGGCTGAGAGTGGAGCACCTGCAGGCAATGGGTCCTCCATCACCTCAGGAGCCAGAGCAGACTCAGCTGATGCCTGCACCTGAGGATCCAGCATAGGTGAGGACCCTTCAGGCTCATGCCCCAGCTCCAGCTCAGCTGGTTCTGGAGGCGAGGACTCCTGTGCAGGCTGGGATTCCTCAGGTTCAGCCTCCAAGTCCGAATCCCAGGCCATCACAGGAAGGCAGCAATGCTTCTGAATACCAGTTGCTGAAAACAGCAGGATGGACCAGTGGTGTAGCATGGGTTGCCAGTACCCGGGGCTGTGTGGAAGCAAGGAAACGGATGGAGTACACATGCACATTCAACTGCCTAATGACGTCATCCACTGCAGCCACAGACATGAGATGAGAAGAGTCGTTCCATTGTCTAGAGAGGTCACTTCTTGATTCTCATGGAAAAGCCATTTTCGATGGAGTCCAGCAACAGAGGCAGCACCGGGTGTTTGAAATTTTGTGCCCCCTAGCAATTTTGGGCCTGGGACAACCACCCCTTTGCCCACTCCCACACTACACCACTGCATAAGAGTGTGTTCTTGTGCTTCAGTCCTCCTTGAAAGTTTCCCACAGGCAACTGGCTGACCGCTGTGAGAACAGGACACTGGGCTAGATGGGCCATTGGTCTGATCCAGCAAAGTTCTTGTATTTTCATCCAGGAGGACAAGCAAAGGATTACAGTGGTACCTCTGGTTGCGAGCAGGATCCGTTCCGGAGCCCTGTTCACAACCTGAGCAGAACGCAACCTGCATCTGCGCGTCTGCGCATGCGCGGGTCGCGATTTGCCGCTTCTGCGCATGCGCGTGACATCATTTTGAGTGTCTGCACATGCGTGAGTGCCGAAACCCGGAAGTAACCCTTTCCGGTACAGTGGTACCTCGGGTTACATTTGCTTCAGGTTACATATGCTTCAGGTTACAGACTCCGCTAACCCAGAAATAGTGCTTCAGGTTAAGAACTTTGCTTCAGGATGAGAACAGAAATCGTGCTCCGGCGGCACGGCAGCAACAGGAGGCCCCATTAACTAAAGTGGTGCTTCAGGTTAAGAACAGTTTCAGGTTAAGTACGGACCTCCAGAACGAATTAAGTACTTAACCTGAGGTACCACTGTACTTCCGGGTCCCCGCGGGAGCAACATGAAAAGATTTAACCTGAAGCGTCTTTAACCCGAGGTATGACTGTATGTCTGTTAACCAATGTCAAGTGTTCTCAACCTCCCTTCATAATAAATAAATAAATACTTTAATACATTTATTTATTTATTAATTTTTTACTGTGGATCACAAGATGATTGCAAGATCTTTCCATTATGGCTTTCCATGCAATGGTCACTCCCTGGCTGTTTTGTCACTCACTCTTCCTTTTTAAGCAAAAAACAAAAGCTATTTTTAACTTGCCTTCCTTTATTTTATTTTATTTTTAGCTAGAACTGAAGCCACAAGGCAGAATGTTAATGAATGCAAGATACTTCCTGGAAACTACTGGCAAGTGATGGTCATATTATTGCTACGACATATTCAGTTATTTTCACTGCGGATTTCCCCACCCTGAAAGCTCAGGTTGGGACATGGTAATTTCAAAATGTACAAAATCCCAACGCAGAGCGATAAATACTTTTACATAAAAAAACACAGCAGAGCCTCAAAATATTGAAATTCTTAAACTGCTCAGGGACCAGTTCAATGGCTGGTGCAATTTTAATTGGCTATTATGGCAACATATTGGGATTTGTGACACCCAAAGGACTGATTCACACATGCGCGAGCGTCATTTGCTGTCTTTCATCACTCAGGACAAACCCTGGGCCACTTCTGGACTCCTTGTTTTTGGACGGAATTCAGTCACATCCTGGTGAATTTTAGTTTGTGCAATTGAAGATGGTTTGGTGCTTTCATGTAACAAACCAGCTTCCTGAGAAGGAAAGTGACTGGAAAATAGATTGGAAAGCATATTGCTTGCTGGATGCAAGGTGGTCTAACCACCCTGTGAGCATATCAGAACGAATGCACAATAAATAGCCAACGTAGTCCGAAAACACCCTACAAACTTTTTACGAGCAAATCGGGGTGAATTCTTGAGAAACAGTTAATGGGCAATTGTGTGTTCGCTGTTTTGTTTTTAAAAAAACTACAGTAAATTGCAAGCTCAGCTGGTCCACTCCAGATTTGGATCTTGGGTAGGAACAGCCTTGTCTTTTTGTTACAGTCCCAAACTGGAGTCACACACCCCACACCCCTGCAATTTACATTTGGGCAGAAAGGTCCTGTTTTCCTCCCAGTTCAAAGATTGAGTGTAAAGAGCTTTAGCTTAGTAGTAGGACACCATTTTTCTGGTTCAGTCCCCAATTTTGTCATCATTTCCTGCTTGTAGCATCTGGTTGGCTATTGTAAGAACAGAGTGCTGGACCAGATAAGCAATTGCCCTGATTCAGGATGGCTATTCCTATGCTTCTTTCATTTGGGGTAGGGGTCTTTACAGGAGATGCCCGACATTTGATGAGAGCCAAAATTACAGCCATGTTACTTCTGCTGGATGGTACTGTTATGTACTGAAGTTCTCACCCTGGGCCAGCAGGGGGATACTGTAGATAGTTATGCAAATAAGGGATCGAAAGTGGCGTTCAGTGATTGGATAGTTTTAGAAAGTTGTTGCAGTAACGTTGTACTGGAGCTCTATGTAAGCAGGCTGACTGAACCCTTCAGTTCTATTCTGGCCTGTGAATAAACAAGAGCTGTTTGAAGAATCGCTGTGTCGTCTGATATGTTCACCCACAACTTAACAGGTACCACTTCAGGCTGGGAGAGGACCTTGTGTCAGTCCTCCCTGCACATCAAAATCTAGCAGATCAAGGACAAATGTAGGTGAGAACCCTGCTCCCTGACCTGCTAGTTTTTCAAAGACATGGAATCCCACCCCCCATGGGGCAAGCATTCAGGCATATGACACCCCCACACCCCCAGGCAGTCCACAAATATATGCACCAACCACTCACTTCTCTTGGTTGTGTGACTCAGCTCTCTGAGTTGTTTTAGGAAGTGTGCCCTGCTCTTTATTTTTAAAGCTGACGCCTTTTCGAGCTGATTTAAATATATGTTATTTTAGCTTATTGGAAGACCACAGGAATTCGTCATCAGAATAACGAGACTTCTCTCTCTTTCTCTCACCCAGATGATCCAGAGTTTATTGACTGTGAAAAGGAAGGGTTTTTCTCTCTGCACCAACGCAGAGGAGCCATCAAGCAAGCCAAGATCCACAATGTCAAGTGTCACGAGTTCACTGCTACCTTCTTCCCTCAGCCCACGTTCTGTTCCGTTTGCCACGAGTTTGTCTGGTATGACACATGGCTTCCCCTCCCTTCCTTGATCTATTCCCATGGCAGTCTTCTTCCCCCAACCTGATGCCCAAGTTTTTGGGACTACAACTCCCATCAGGCCCCAGTCTGAATGGCCCTAGACTAGCCTTTGCCAGTTGTGCTTGCTGTGGCTGATGGGAATTGTAGTCCAAAACATCTGTAGAGCACCAATGTGAGGAAGATTGTCTAGTGGGGAAGGGGCAAGCTGCTGCTTCTCTGATGGAGAGGGAGGGGTTTGGAAGAGAGATCTCTTCCTCTCTCGCAGCAAAATTATACACAATGGCAATTGCTCCAAGGACATTAAAACTTGGTTAAATTTGCATCTGCCCTCATCTACCTTAAACAAATGTTCCCCATGAAAATACGAAATCTTGCAAATAAGTGGATGTTTTACTCAGTGTTTCCAGACATTACAGCAAAGTAGTCTCCATCAATTGGCAGTAAGACGAATATGAAAAGGGGTTTCGAATGACTTAAAAAGAAAAGTACTTGCTTTCTTTTTTTAAAAAAAGATCATACAGTCTTTGAGTTGCCAAAGATGCAGGCTTTAAAATCTCCATTTTGGAGAGATTCGGTTCACTTGGAGGAACAACTGAGCTGGGAGCCAAAGCCACATGGCTCCTTCTTTGCTTGTTCCAGGAAGCACAAAGAGAAAAAGACTGAGAAGCAGAGTAGGGGGTGGGGAGAGCAGAGGCTGCTGAGTGCCTACTTAGCCACACCCACTCTGGTAACGAACTCATGGCTCAGGTTAACCCTTTCATGCGTGCAATTGTGAGTCAGTAACTGTATATATTACAACAGAACCCTCTTACCGGAAGGGCCACTGCGAACCATTCCTCAATGTGAATTCAAAATCCTACCCAGCCCCCTATATGCAAATGATGCAACCTCAAATAGCTGTTGGAAGCAAACGACACCTATGAATTTAACATGTATTTTTGAAAATTTGAATAGCATCCGCTGCAGGGGGATTTCCTCCCCTTTGGGCCCGAAGGAGGATTGATGGGAGAAAGAGTGTGTGTGTGTGTGTGTGTGAGAGAGAGAGAGAGAGAGAGAGCGCAAAAATCACCTTAAAAGGAGGGATTTTCCTCAGAACCATAGCAGAAGAGAAAAGGGCTAAATTTCTACTCCATGCTTGCTTTGATTCTCTCCCCCAACAGATTATCTTTGCATTTTTAAAAAGAAACTTGCATGTTCTAAATGCAAAGACATATTTAATGTCCTGCTTCTACCTTGAACATATTGCTATCGTACTAATAGTGGCTTCAGTTTTCTCCAGTCCTTATCCAGCTGACACGACTTATTTGAGGAAATTTGACCATCCCCCAAATTCAGAAAGACATTTACGCAAGCTAAATTCCATGTCTTCCCACCTGCACTATTGGAAGGCAGATACAGAAAGATTCCTTATGGCGAAGGGGTCTGCCCATGTAAGAGCGGTCAGATAAAAACTGTGGGCCACGTTCTATTCCACTGTAGATTTTATACAGATCTCAGAGCCTCTCTCGTGACCCTTTGTGTATGAAAAGTACCAGGAAGGATTCTGTCCAACCAGAATCCAGATGTCACTAGAAATGTACAGCAGATAGATTTTGTGCAATAGCCATAAGTCAAAGAAAGCAAGAGATTACACAGCTGCACAAACAGTCATAAATCATTACAGCTTATAGTTAAATCTTCTTATTCTATTATTTCTTAAATGGAGTTCTTAAGTCTATTTAATTAGTATATTGATTGTTAAATTCCACTCTGATCATCTTTATCGTTTTTGTAAAGAACTACGCAGCAATTCTGGTTTTAGTATGCTGGCTGTTTGGCCATAATAATAAACATTCGTTCATTCACTTGAGTGAGGAGCCTAGCCTTCCTGGGCCCAGATCCCAACACACGGCATTTATTTTGTTTTAAAGTCATTCTTCTCAAATATATATGACAAACATTATCCTTACTCCAGATTCTCTCCTTTCTGTGTTTCAGGGGTCTTAACAAGCAAGGTTACCAGTGCAGACGTAAGAAACTTTTAGCATATCGCGTTATTTACAACTGCCAAAATAGAAACTGCAGTGTTTCTTGCCCCGAAGAAAACCGAGAATGCTTTAAAAAAAAATTAGCAAGCCAGCCGTGGAAGCAAAGAGCGCATGTGTAAATGTGACCTACAAGAGCCGTGTCACCTCTCACAGACTACAGTAGGAATTAATGACAACATTCTCTATTGGTCTACTCTGAAGTAAGGCAAATTGAGATCAGTGGGACTTACGCCCAGGTCAGAAGGCATAGGGTTACAGCTGAAAAGTGCCTAATTTCTGGCTGGGTTGTGGGTCAACACACTCCCATTTCAACTCTTTTGAGAAGCGTTCCAAACCTAAGCTGGATCTCTCCTGTAATTTCTTATGAAATTCTGCATTTTGAGGCGTTTTCCCATGAACCAGCTTCAGTCGGAATTGAGACAAAGAACAGCCTGGGCATGCTTTAAGCTACACAGCCTGTGTTTTGTTAAATTCAATCCTAAAAAACAGCGGGGAGCAGGCAGAAGCTACATGCAGGTATATTCCTTCTGTGCAACAGATTCTGGTTGAGTCTCCAGGTCTGATATTTTAGGGATTTCAGCTTTTCCTTAGGGTCTCCAGGAAAAGTGCAAAATCGCCAAGTGATAAGCCAAAATCGAGGGGATACGCCACTTTCCCATTGGCTCTGGAACTTTTGCAATTTGCTCCACCCAGTCAGGGTGCTGGCTTATTCCCACACAGGAAAGGTCCATATCCTCTCTTTAAGAATGTACATTGGCTCCCAGTATGTTTCTGAGCACAATTCAAAGTGCTGGCGCTGACCTTTAAAGCCCTAAATGGCCTCGGCCCAGTATACCTGAGGGAGCGTTTCTACCCCCATCGTTCAGCCCGGACACTGAGGTCCAGCTCCGAGGGCCTTCTGGTGGTTCCCTCACTGTGAGAAGTGAGGTTACAGGGAACCAGGAAGAGGGCCTTCTCGGTAGTGGCACCCGCCCGGTGCAAACACCTTCCCTTCAGATGTCAAGGAAAAAAACAACTGACTTTTAGAAGACATCTGAAGGCAGCCCTGTATTGGGAAGTTTTTAATGTTTGATGTTTTATCGTATTTTAAATATTCTATTGGGAGCCACCCAGAGTGGCTGGGGAAACCCAGCAAGATGGGCAGGATAGAAATAAATTGTTGTTGTTGTTGTTAATATTATTCTAATGTCCAATACTATATTTGCAATATTTGCAATATTTGCAATATTTCTCTTATTGCTTGTGGCTGGCTTGAAAACGGAATTAAACAAACCTGTGAAGGATTAGGTTATAACAGGGGTAGGCAACCTAAGGCCCGTGGGCCGGATCTGGCCCATTGCCTTCTAAATCCGGCCCATGGACAGTCCAGGAATCAGCGTGTTTTTACATGAGTAGAATGTGTCCTTTTATTTAAAATGCATCTCTTACTTCTTGTGGCCCTTCAACAATGCTTTATATGGTTTGTTTTCCCTTCCCAGAATGCAATGCTGCCATTCACAAGAAGTGCATTGACAAAGTAATAGCAAAGTGTACGGGATCAGCCATCAATAGCAGAGAAACCATGGTATGTATCTGAATGAAGGTCCTTTTTGTGAATCAGCTGAAGGCGGCATGTATCTGAATGAAACTTCTTGTGAATCGGTTGAGGGCAGCGTGTCTCTGAATGAAGGATGTTTTTGTGAATCAGTTGACAACACACCGGTTGCCAAGAGTTTGAAAACACCTTTCCTCATTAAAAAAAAAAAAAGGATTGGAGAAAATCATGGGCCTCAAGGTCACAAGGGTTGTTAGGTAGAGACGTGCAGATAGATTTGGTGCCCTCTGCCAATCTCTTTTCTTCACAACAACCCTGTGAAGTAGGCTAGGCGGACACAAATGGGACTACACAGCCACACGAGGTGTAAACATGGCGTCTGCGAGGAATTTAAGCGAATTCCGTATGCATGGTGCAAAAAATCTCAACAACTCTGTGGGTGTCTGTCAGGAATTTTACTTTTTGAACCCTACACAAGGGAAAGGAACGGCTCCAGAATTTTTGCTGCCTGGGGCAGATTAGAAAATGGGGTCCCCTGTTGCAGTCCAAGTGCGTCGTCCCTAAGGCCAGCAAACTTACTTTGGCAGCAGAGACAGAAAATCCCACCAGCATCTCTCGCCCTCCCAGCAGCACTAAGAAATGCAATGCTAATAACTGCAACAATTTCCTATATTTTTGTGACATCCAAAATTGACCGCCTGATGCTGTTGCCTCACTCTGCCTAATGACAGAGCCGGCACTGATGCCACGGCTGAATGGGGTCTGAACTCACCTATCCTGACCTAAGTCCTGTTGGCTCTCATGATGCCATTGCCTCCGTGAGTTGCCTTGGGCAAGATGTCGTCTTTCCTCTCCTACTCCAAAATGACCTACTTCGCAGGCAAGCTGGATAAAATATTTGTATACAGCAGAGAGAGGGAACCTCCAGATGTTGCTGGACAGCAGTTCTCACTTCCCTGACAATTTGCCATGTTGACTGAGGCTGATGGGAGCTGGAGTCTAACCACATCTGGATGTCCACAGCTTTCCTGGTCTATTGTGAATGTTAAGTTGTGGGTGATTCTCGGAGCTGGACCTCAGTGTGTGGGCTGAATGATGGGGGTGGAGATGCTCCTTCAGATATACTGGACCGAGGCCGTTTAGGGCTTTAAAGGTCAGCAATTCTTCAAACAGCTCTTGTTTATTCACAGGCCAGAACAGAACTGAACTGAAGGGTTCAGTCAGCCTGCTTATATAGAGCTCAACTACAACGTAACTGTAACAATTTTCTAAAACTATCCAATCACTGAACGTCACTTTCGATCCCTTATTTGCATAACTATCTACAGTATCTCCCTGCTGGCCCAGGGTGAGAACTTCAGTACATAACAGTGAAAGTGAGGGACAACATTTGATTACAGTCACTGCAGAACCCATGACATTGTTTATAATTCCTTGTTCAATTCATTTGCACTGGAACTGTTTGTATTTGCAAAAGAGGAACTGTTTAAAGGCTTGAACCCCTTTAGTTTTGTATGTATTTGCAACACCAGAAGCAGGCCATGTGCGTCCTCTGACCTCGTCCTCTCTCTCTCTCTCTCTTTTGCAGTTCCACAAAGAGAGGTTTAAGATTGACATGCCCCACCGATTTAAGGTCTACAATTACAAAAGCCCAACATTCTGCGATCACTGCGGCACTCTGCTCTGGGGTCTGGCGCGGCAGGGTTTGAAATGTGATGGTAAGTCCAGGGACTCAGCTATAGAGCTGTAAATATAACATGAATAGAACGCAACCCGCAGCGGTGCGTCTGCGCACGCGCGGGTTGCGATTCGCCACTTCTGCGCATGCGCATGACATCATTTTGTGCTTCTGCGCATGCGCGAGTGGCGAAACCTGGCGGTAACCTTTTCCGGTACTTCCGGGTCACAACCTGAAAAAACCGTATCATGAAGCAAACGTAACATGAGGCATGACTGTAGTATTATTATTATGAGGAATGGTTGAAGGAGCTGAGTTTGTTTAGCCCGGAAAAGAGGAGACTGAGAGGAGATAGCATAGCAATCTTCAAATATCTCAAGGGCTGTCTCATGGAAGAGGGAGCATACTTGTTTTCTCCTGCTCTGGAGGGTAGGTCTCAAACCAATGGCTTCAATTTACAAGAAAGAAGATTCCAACTAAAGAACAGGAAGAATGTTCTGAGGATAAGAGCTGTTTGGCAGGGGAAGAGACTCCCTTGGGAAGTTGTGGAATCTCCTCCCTTGGAGGTTTCTAAGCAGAGGTTGGGTGGCCATCTGCCATGGATGCTTTAGTTGAGTTTCCTGCATTGCAGGGGGGCTGGACCACATGACCCTCATGGTCCCTTAAAGGTAAAGGTAAAGGGACCCCTGACCATTAGGTCCAGTCGTGACCGACTCTGGGGTTGCGGCGCTCATCTTGCTTTACTGGCTGAGGGAGCCGGCGTACAGCTTCCGGGTCATGTGGCCAGCATGACTAAGCCACTTCTGGCGAACCAGAGCAGCACACGGAAACGCCGTTTACCTTCCCGCTGGAGCGGTACCTATTTATCTACTTGCACTTTGACGTGCTTTCAAACTGCTAGGTTGGCAGGAGCAGGGAGTGAGCAACGGGAGCTCACCCCGTCGCAGGGATTCAAACCGCCAACCTTCTGATCAGCAAGTCCTAGGCTCTGTGGTTTAACCCACAGCACCACCCGCGTCCCCTCCAACTCTACAATTCTAAGATTCCATGACAGATTTTCCACCCCTGTTTGTAACAGAAGGGGAAACAGCAGAGGGAGATAGGAGGAGATAGGAATCATCCTTCTGATAGTACAGTTCTCAGTGGGGAGGACCAGAGTTGAGCCTGCTTTCCTGGTTGCCACTTCTCAGATGAGAGACCTACAGAGAACGTTAGGTAAAGGCTGGCAGCAGGATCAGGTCATTGATAACCACAGTTATCATAAATCATAGTTTAACTGTGTGCTGGATGAAAAAGAAAGAGCTGTTTGACAGTGGAACGGTGTGCTGTGCCCGGGTCTAACCCGTGAAACGCAGTCCAGGACTGGTCCAGAATCCGAAGGTTCCACTGGGAGTCAGTCCGACAGGGCCAAGGCAGGACACGAGGCAGCAAACCAGGCAAGGACAGGTATAGGATCTCAGGCAGGATCTGACATATGGCAATGTTGCTCCCGCAACCTGGGGCAGGGTCCGACAGCCTTTTATCTTTGTCGGGGTAACAGCCAGTCCTGATCCCCTGGAGACTCACCTCCCTGTTTTGCCCGAAGGTGAGCACTCCTCCTGCGAGTACTCAGGTCTCTCCTTCTCTCAGACCTTACTCTCTGCAGCTCGGGAGATGTTGGTGTGTTACTAGACCCAGCGGTCATCTCAGCCTCCCCTGACCCAACTGGTAGTGGAGCAGCTGTAAGTGATGGCCCAGCTGAAGGCAACAAGGTAATCCCCGCATCTGGAGCCAGGGCAGGCTCAGGCCCCTGACTTGGCCCAGCTGGTGTTTGTTGCAGGGGAACCTGTGCAGACTGGGACTCTTCAGGATCAGGCCCCAGACTTGGTTCAGATGATGCCTGAGGCAAAGGATCCGGTGCAGACTGAGACTCCTCTGGTTCCCAGTCCGAGCCTGAGTCCCAGGCCATCACAAACGGTCTCCCTTGGGAGGTTCTAGACTCTCCTTCCTTGCAGGTTTTTAAGCAGAGGTTGGGTGGCCATCTGTCATGATGCTTGAGTTGAGATTGCTGCATTGCAGTGGGTTGGACTAGATGACCCTTGGGGTCCCTTCCAGCTCTATGATTCCATGATTCTGCATACCAGTTTGTGGAAACCGCAGGAGGGGAGGGTGCTCTTGGGCTTGGGTCCTGCTCAAAGGTTTCCCACTGGGTGGCCACTGCAAGACCAAGAGGCTGGACTCATTGCACCATTGGCCTGACCCAGCGGGTTCTTATAATGTTCTTAACCTGCGGACTGGATTCTCTTAACGTTGCCAGAACCTCACCTGTTGACTCCATGCCTTCCTTGCAGCCTGTGCCATGAACGTCCACCACAAGTGCCAAGCCAAAGTGGCAAACCTCTGCGGCATCAACCAGAAGCTCATGGCGGAAGCGCTGCAACTGATCGAGAGCCGGCAGCAGGTGGGCAAGCGGCGTCGTTCTTTGGCTCCTCTGGGGCAAAAAAAGCACAGAAGGCTGGGAGCTTATGTATATTTCTTGTACTTGCCACCTCTACAAAAGAGGATGTCCCATTCTCCCTGTGAGTTTATTTTAGTTGGTTTGAAGTATCAGATGAAATGGGGGCTGGATTCCTCCCTTGCCCCTGCCGTCCAACTTTAGCAGGTGGGTGGGGCTGCCCCGCCTGTCCATCATCTGACGCCAACCTCATTATGACATCGGGTGACAACTTCAAAGCAGGCCCCTTTACTGTGGGTGCCAATCAGCTCATTGGTGCCAGGAGAAACCCCTACCTTCAAAGGGCTTTGCTTCCGGTGACAATCAGCTGACGGTTGGTGACAGCAAGCCATTTGAAGTCCATTTGCAAGCGATTCAGAGAGATGATTTGGAGATTGCTGGCAGCACCGATCAGGTGACAAAGACGTCTATTGACTAGGGCGCTCTTGATGGTCCTGCATGCAGGTTTCCTCCAAGTTTCTGGTCGCCATGATGGAGACTCTGCCCTACCTTCACTGTCAGAGGCAGCAATGCTACCAGCTGTCGGAAGCCACAAGAGTGGCTGTTGTGCTCATGTTCTGCTTGTTTCCCATGGGCATCTAGTGGGCTACTGTGAGAATGCTGGACTAGATGGGCCATTGACCCAATCCTAGAGGCTCTTATTATTATTATTTTACAGCTGGCACCTTTAAAATGAAATGAAATGAAATACGTTATTGTCACTTGTACAACTTGTATACAGTGAGGTTACACAAGCGCCCCTCACTCAGCTCTCTTAGTCTTAATTCCCCTCGTTTACTGACGCACACCCACCAAACCCTAAAGTCAGTTGCCCTGTTGTTATCTTTTCATTCAGCAGCCTAACAGCCCACGGATAGAAGCTGTTCTTTACCCTGTTGGTGCGACTAATCAGGCTTCTATATCTTCTGCCTGAGGGCAAGAGATCAAGAAAGTGCCGGCCAGGTCATCTTTCCCTCGTTGGGCAAAAACTCATCTTCTCCCCACGGCCAGCCCAACTCTTTGACAAGTTGCCAAGAAGTGTGTTTGTTTCTGTGTGTGATCTGCATTCTGGTTGTAGGGTGTTTTCCGTGGTTGTAGGGTGTCATCTATGGATAAACTCCATCGATTGTTATTTTTTTTAGTTTCCAATCTTGTGCCCCATGCTAGATCCCACACTTGCACAGTGTCCAGCAAGCATGCTACGTGATTCATTCCTTTACTCATTTTTACCATGAGGCAGGCTAGAAGCTTGCGGGAGTCAGAGAAGATCTTGAGAGAAGGACCTGTGGAAATTGTCTTCCCTGACACAGACCCGACGCCTGCTCTTCCTCCTGTGCCAGCACCTCCAGCAGGGAAAAAAGGTGCTGTATTTTATCGTTTGAGTAAAGGTAAAGGGACCCCCGACCGTTAGGTTCAGTCGTGACCGACTCTGGGGTTGCGGCACTCATCTCGCTTTATTGGCCAAGGGAGCTGGCGTACAGCTTCCGGGTCATGTGGCCAGCATGATTAAGCCATTTCTGGCGAACCAGAGCAGCGCATGGAAACGCCGTTTACCTTTCCGCCGGAGTGGTACCTATTTATCTACTTGCACTTTGCTGTGCTTTCGAACTGCTAGGTTGGCAGGAGCAGGGACCAAGCAACGGGAGCTCACCCCATCGTGGGGATTCGAACCGCCGACCTTCTGATTGGCAAGTCCTAGGCTCTGTGGTTTAACCCACAGCGCCACCCGCATCTCAGTTATCGTTTGAGTAGCCACCTTATTTAGCAGCCTCCTTGGTCTATATATATATGTTTTGGCTTTAAACATTTACCTGCCAAATATTGAGAAAGGAGATAAAACAGGGACCTGTACAAGACAAGGCCTGCAGTCAATGGAAAGGATGACCTCAGAAGGTGATGGATTCTCCCTCAGTGGAGACTTTTAGCAAAGGTTGGGTGGCCATCAATCAAGGATTCTTTAACTGATATTCCCTTTATTTCAGGGGTAGGACTAGATGACCCTGAGGGACCCTTCCAACTCTATGACTCCTGCACAGAGTTACTTGGGAATAAGCTCCACAGAAAACAAATGAATCGCCCTTAGATTAATATTGTTATTCACGTTCCACCTTTCCTCCAAGGTGTTCAAGATGGTGGACACAGTTTTTCCCCTCCCCCTTTTATCTTCACAACAATATTTGTCAAAATTACAAATACCCAAATACAGACGGTCATTTACCCTCGCTAGATTCAACGTGCTGCCATCTGCCTTATTGCAGGGCAGATTCGAGGGTAAACCATACATGGAACGAGTCTGCCCCTGCGGCTTGATGGAGGTAGAAACTGTCTCTCATGTCTTGTTACGCTGCCGTTTCCACGTGGATATACACTCGGTATTTATCTCTCCTGTTATACAGAAATCTCCAAATGGGTCCGAACTTCAATGTCTAAAACTCCTGGTAGAGGACAAGGATCTAGAGATTACGCTAAGGGTGGCCAAATTCTGTGTGACTGCCATAAAACTTAGGGAACAAGCTGTACTACCAAAATGACTAAGGTTTTAAATGATAATTTTAGGTTATCTTTTAGTGATCAAGATTTTATATGTATATTTTTTAACTGCCGCTATATCTGAATTGTCTCTGTTATACCCAATTGCAATTCAATGTATTCCTGTTGTGTTTTATGATTTTCCTGACCTGGAACCGGTCTGTGACCGTAATAATAAAATTCTATTCTTCACAACGACCTTGTGAAGTGGGTTAGGCTGAGAGACAGTCCCCATCCCACAACCACCCAAGACTGTGTCCCAGGAACACAGCCGAGAGTGTCAGGTGGCTTAAGCCAGCCAGCCCAGCAGGATCTGTCCCGGGTTACACCTCACCACAAATTGGGTCGTTGGGTGGAGAGAGAGGTGCAATGGGGTGCGTTCCCACAAGCAGTTAAGTCTCGTCAGTGCAATGGGGAGAGCTCTTTCAGTTAACGCAACTCCACTGGGATCCATTGCAGAGCCTCAGGGAGTTTCCTGGGAATCCCCTGCAGAAGACGTCCCGGGTCCCGATTCCCCGGTGGAACTGGAACCAAGGAAAGACCTCCCTACTCAGCTGCCGAAGTTTACCATAGATGATTTTGTTTTGCACAAAATGTTGGGGAAAGGAAGCTTTGGCAAGGTAAGGAGCGAAAGCGAGAGCAGGAGACACAACGTACTGTTGGTGTTGGTGTTTTTCACAAAAACAAAGCCCTACTTGAATTAAATACAAAATACCACATGGAATTTATGGATTACTGTACAGTGGACGCTCGGGTTGCGAACGTGATCCATGCGGGATGCACGTTCGCAACCTGCAGTGGCATGTTTGCACATGCGCAGGTTGTGATTTGGCGCTTCTGCGCATGCGCAAAGTGCGATTTAGCACTTCTGTGCATGCACGGCCGCCGAAACCCAGAAGTAACCCGTTCCGGTATTTCTGGGTTTCAGCGGTCCGTAACCTAAAAAAATGCAACCTGAGGTATGACTGTACAGTAGAACAGAAAACCAGGGTTGTATTAACCATTAAACAAGAGCAGGGAACCTCGATCCACACACTTCTTGCTCTTGAGACTCTTCCTAGGTCATATTGCCTCCCCAGGCTACACCCCTTCTCCCCAGCCCTCAAGACTATAGTCTGCACTCTCCTTAAGTGTTTTTACCTGGTTGGAATGTGTCCCAGAATGGGGATAATGTCTCTTGCTTGCCTGGGAGGAGGTGCGTGAGTGTACATGTGTGCATAGAACTCTCTGGCTTTTGCATAGCTTGCATGTAACTTAAAAAGGTAAAGGGCCCCCTGACCATTAGGTCCAGTCGTGGCCGACTCTGGGGTTGCGGCGCTCATCTCGCTTTATTGGCCGAGGGAGCCGGCGTACAGCTTCCGGGTCATGTGGCCAGCATGACTAAGCCACTTCTGGCGAACCAGAACAGTGCACGGAAATGCTGTTTACCTTCCCGCTGGAGCTGGACCTATTTATCTACTTGCACTTTGACGTGCTTTTGAACTGCTAGGTTGGCAGGAGCAGGGACTGAGCAACGGGAGCTCACCCCGTCACGGGGATTTGAACCGCTGACCTTCTGATCAGCAAGCCCTAGGCTCTGTGGTTTAACCCACAGCGCCACCCGCATCCACAATAAAACTGACACCTGTTGCTCCACTCACTTATTCCTTCGGCCCCACCCACACGGCCTCTGAAAGCTCACCCACAAAAGAGAGTGGCCCTTGAGTCGGGAAGTGCTCCCCATCCCTGCACGACACCTTGGCTACTCGCTTTCAAATCAGTCTTTGCAAACATAGGGACTAGAAACTTGATAAACATTCCATCTGAGATTTTTGGTTAATTCTGCACTCAATTCTGAATTGCGCATCTTTGCTTAACCTTGCCATGAATCGCAGCTTTTTGCTGTACCCCTGGATTTATTTATTTTTGCCCAGGTCTTCCTTGTTGAGCTGAAGGACACGAACCAGTTTTTTGCCATGAAAGCTTTGAAGAAGGAGGTGGTGCTGATGGATGATGACGTCGAATGTACCATGGTGGAAAGGCGGGTCCTCTCTCTGGCTTGGGGACACCCGTTCCTCACTCACGTCTTCTGTACATTCCAGACAAAGGTAACCAATTTCTTTCCTATTCACTCAGAATAGAGATTCTCATACTGTCTGCCTTCAGGACCCACTTGAGAAAGTCCACCAGTCACAAAATGGCAGCCAGTGGGGCATGGTATTCAGATGAGTTTTAGTAATACATTGGTACCTCAGGTTACAGACGCTTCAGGTTACAGACTCCGCTAGCCCAGAAATATTACCTCGGGTTAAGAACTTTACCTCAGGATGAGAACAGAAATTGTGCAGTGGCAGCAGGAGGCCCCATTAGCTAAAGTGGTACCTCAGGTTAAGAACAGTTTCAGGTTAAGAATGGACCTCCAGAACGAATTAAGTTCTTAACCCGAGGTACCACTGTAATAATAATAATAATAATAAATTTTATTCATACCCCGCCCTCCCCAGCCAAGACCAGGCTCAGGGCGGCTAACACCAGGTATAAAAACAATTGATTAAAACACAACTTAAAAACAAGATTAAAATACAACATTAAAATGCAGCCTCATTTCAGTAGCAACTCAAATCAAAAACTTTTTGAGGATGAAAACGTCAAATCTTCACCAAGGCCAACTATCCAGACTGGCCTTCGTGGGCCAGAAAAAAAGCCAGGGAAGTCCCCAAATAGGAGTTCCATCACAGAAGGAGAAAGGAAAAAGGATGGGCCGTCTTATCCATAAGCGCTAGGGGTGCGGGGCACCCGGGCGCCGGGCTCTCAGAGTCTGGGGCCCGAGAGTTGAGTCGGGGAAGAGCCCGCCCGTCGGTCGGAGCATCGTGCAGGTTCTTCTGCTGCGGGCAGCTCTGCGCCGTGAGTTCGGGGGCGACCGAGCCAGCGAGACACTGAGGCGGCTGTCTGGCTCTGCATTCCTGTGCGTCTGGGACTGGGCAACCAGGGGGAGGCGCCAAGCGAATCTTTGCACGCTGGTACCGCATATGTTTAAGACAGCCCTGCCTCCAGGCACCCACATGTGTGGGTTGAACAGACAAGGAAATTTAGCTTAGCAGAGATTCAAATCCTATCCTTAGCAGAAAATGCTGGAAGCATAGGAATTCAGCTGGAAAGCAAGCTGGCTCCCCCTTTTCTTAACAAAGAATCCTACAACAGACTGAGAAGTAACTTTAAAGTACACTTTACTTACTCATACATTCCTTGGTTCTCAGATGCAACAGCATTAAAAGCTATACAGGTAAAATACTTATATTTACAGTAGAAGCAGCCTCAGGCATGTGCCTGAGCTGAAGCAACTGGATATCTGTCTGCTCCCATAAAGAGGGAGAGAGAAAGGAACAAGAAATGCTGGGTGCTCTTTCAGGAGAGGAGGGGAAATGATATCACACAGAGCCCTCTCTATCAATTACATGTCTATGGTTTGGGTCCGCCTATCAGCAATACAGCTCTGTGGTCTTAACCCCTTCACATGCTAACTAGCAAGAATATGCATTAGATTTGGTTGATAATTTCCCACAATGATAGACTTTTGGAGAATGGGGTTTAAGAGCTTATCCACATTTCCCTTTGTCCCGTGATTTATTCCATTTGTCCCATGATTTCTAGGCACAGGCGTTTCTTTTGTTTCCCTACTTTCTCCGGGAAAACCACCTGTAAAATGGGTATCATAAATCCTTTGGTTTCTCTTCAGATTGTATAAATCTTTCACCTTTTATCATGAATCCATCCATTTGAGTTTCCCCAAGAAAAAGCTGTCACTGAGGCAATGTTCCATTTCTTTTCTTGTGTCATCTGTTGCCCCAAGACCATTTCATGATTATGATTATGATTTTAAGCCTTTTTTTTGTCATTTACTAGGAAAACCTCTTTTTTGTAATGGAATATCTCAACGGGGGTGACCTGATGTTTCACATCCAGATCTGCCACAAGTTTGACATTGGCCGAGCGAGGTAAGTTGGGGTCTGTTTTTGCTGCACATTCCTGGAGAGACAGAGAAATTGCTCGAACGTACCATCAGTGATGTGGTACGGTCCTTGCAAGAGTAGATCGTCTTGAAATGCATGATGTGTACAGTCGGGATCATTGCAGTTTACTTTCTCCTTAGGGCCACATTCATGCCAAACATTTAAAGCAGTGGTTCTCAACCTGTGCATCCCCAGATGTTGTTGGACTACAACTCCCATCATCCCTGAGCTCTGGCCTTGCAGGCTAGGGATGATGGGAGTTGTAGTCCAATGATATCTGGGGACCCACAGGTTGAGAAAGGCTGGTTTAAAGCATCATGACAGCACTTTAAAGAGGCATGGCATTCCGCCCAGCAAAGAATTCTGGGAGCTGTAGTTTGTTAAGGGTGCTGAGAGTTGTGAGGAGACTCCCAAGTCCCCTCACAGAACTACAATTCCCAGAGTTCCCTGTGAAGTGGGATTGAGCTGAGGCCAGAGAGGGCTGAAGACTGGAGTTGCCCATTGGCAGCTCTTTACAGGAATGTTCTCCATTTGCAGGCTATTTTTTAAAAAATCTGGGGATGTTTTCAAGCACACACACACAAACACACCCAATGCCTGCTGAGGTGGTACATTCCCCACCAAAGGGTTATCCCATGTTGGAGCCTCTTTCTGTTTCTCTCCTTATGTAAAGGATGCTTTTTATTTATTTTTTACTTCGTAAAACACACATCAAGGACAGGGGGAACTATCTGGGCAGCATACAAAATAAACATCCCAATTTCAAACAGAAAGTAGCAGGCAGGGACGCCAACCTGTGCTCCAGGTTATGGGTGACCAATGGCACCCATGAGGTAATGTGACATCATGACATCATGTTACATCAACGTGCCGCAGAGGCGCTTCTGAGGCCTGGTAGGACCTCAGATGTGACCGCCGAGGCCTCACGGGGCTTTGGAGATCACACCGGAGGCCTGGGAAACCTCCGACACAACTTTTGGTAGAAACTGGAAGCCGCGTTGGAGCCCGCTCTGTGGGTGCCCAGCACCCACAAAATAATGTATGTGGGTGCCCGGGCCCCATGGCCCCCTATAGTTGGCACCTATGGCAGCACCCATTGAATAATAATAATAATAATAATAATAATAATAATAATAATAATAATTTATTATTTATACCCCGCCCATCTGGCTGGGTTTCCCCAGCCACTCTGGGCAGGTTCCAACAGAACACTAAAATACAATAACCTATTAAACATTAAAAGCTTCCCTAAAGAGGGCTGCCTTCAGATGTCTTCTAAAAGTCTGGTAGTTGTTTTTCTCTTTGACATCTGGTCGAACAGTTTTGTTTTAGAAAGCTGTGGTAAAAAGCTGTTTCCGTGGAACCTCTCTTTTGTTCGGCTGCTCCAGAGCACCGAGTCCCCAAAATAAAATAAAACACTAACCTGAATCACATGAATGTATATATATATAAAAAAACCTAGATGGTAAACACCAACTGAAGATTTAAAAACGGATTGAGGCATGATTAAAACAAATAGAACAAAGCAAATAAAATAAGCCCCGGTGCCCCGGGGATAATTTTTTAAAAAATCAATATTGAAACCGCTTTAGGGCTTTGTTTGGATTGAAGAGCGACTTGAAGTAAATTATTCATTAGAGCCGGGTGAGCGAAGGTGACTTTGGGCGTAGAAATCCGCCTGGCCTTCCTCTGCAATTCCAGAGTTGGATTTCTAAAAAACATGGCCTGGCAAGAATTCCACCACTCTGCTTTTCCGTGTCGCGAGGCAGGGTGGCAAAGGGAAGCCCTGGCTGAGTTTGCCCCCCTTGTGTGCAAACCCCCAATGGCGAGGCTCTGCAAGAACTTCTGACAAGAGAGAAGTACTGTGACAAGACAGAAGTACTGTTTTGGGGGGACAGGAGGCAGGCAGGTGTGGAGGACTCCCTGGTCCTGAATGGGGTAACTGTGCCCCTGAAGGACCAGGTGCGCAGCCTGGGAGTCATTTTGGACTCACAGCTGTTCATGGAGGCACAGGTCAAATCCGTGTCCAGGGCAGCTGTTGACCAGCTCCATCTGGTAGGCAGGCTGAGACCCTATCTGCCCACAGACTGTCTTGCCAGAGTGGTGCATGCTCTGGTTATCTCTCGCTTGGACTACTGCAATGCGCTCTATGTGGGGCTGCCTTTGAAGGTGACCCGGAAACTACAACTAATCCAGAACGTGGCAGCTAGACTGGTGACTGGGAGCGGCCGCCGAGACCACATAACACCTGTCTTGAAAGACCTACATTGGCTCCCAGTACGTTTCCGAGCACAATTCAAAGTGTTGGTGCTGACCTTTAAAGCCCTAAACGGCCTTGGTCCAGTATATCTGAAGGAGCGTCTCCACCCCCATTGTTCTGCCCGGACACTGAGGTCCAGCGCTGAGGGCCTTCTCAGTAGTGGTGCCCGCCCTGTGGAACGCCCTCCCAACAGATGTCAAAGAGGACAACAACTGCCAGACTTTTAGAAGACATCTGAAGGCAGCCCTGTTTAGGGAAGCTTTTAATGTTTGATGTATTACAGTATTTTAATACTTTTTGGGAAGCCACCCAGAGTGGCTGGGGAAGCCCAGCCAGATGGGCGGGGTATAAATAATAAATTATTATTATTATTATTATTATTATTATTATTATTATTTCCTTGAGGCGAAGCCCTTGCACGGCCTCACGGCTGCCCGGCTCCATTACCGGGGCAGCAGCGGGTATTTCTCCTCAGGCACCAAAATGCCTTGGGCCGCTCCTGCAACGGGGCCTTTCTGGAGCGGTGCGCTTCTGAACTGAAGAAGAGAACTCTTAATCCTGGGTGTAGAGAGCCGAGAAAGTTATTGCCCCCTGGTGAAGGAACTCTGCACGTTCTCAGGAGCATTCTCCCTATGCATCCCAACTGTTATCTGGCTCAGCTCTTGCTGTTGCCAACAGTAAGGAGGGACGTCGCTAAGAAGGAAGATGGCTGGCGGTGCCACTATTTCTGCCATTGTCACTCCTGGACTGGTGGCAAGGCTGTATTCCGATGGCAGTTTAATTCCATTTCCCCCAAATACCTCTCCCCGCCACCCCTGGTCATAGCACATTAATGTAGGTGTTTGCAGAAAAGTTATTTGTCCTTTCCATCTGACAAAAGCGGTAGGCTGTAGATTCATTCAGGACAGGAAAAAGAAAGTGTCCCGTAACACAGCACCTAATTTAAGCAGTGGAACTCACTGCAACATGATTTGAGGATGGCCACTGGCTTAGGGTGGAGGATAGGTCTGTCAGTGGCTGTTATGAAATGAGGCCTCTATTATTGTTGTTGTTGTTGTGATTATTATTATTATTATTATTATTATTATTATTATTATTGCCATGCCTTTTTCCTTGATGGGACTCAAGGTGGCTTACAGATAAAAACAATAACCACTGGACCAGTACTCTGTGGGGGGGAAGATATTGGATATTGGGTTAAATATGAACCAATAAAATTAAGCCCAACCTGTCTGATTTTCTCAGGTTTTATGCTGCTGAAATCATTTGCGGCTTGCAGTTCCTTCATTCTCAAGGAATCATATACAGGTAGGAATTTTATCCTTGGCGGAGAGAGAAAGAATAATACAATCGTAGGATTGCAGAGCTCGAAGGGACTCTGAGGGGCATCTAGTTCAACCCCAGAAATGCAGGAATTTCAATGCGGTTGTTGACATCCGTCTGTCTCAGGAGATAACGGCGGAGTGCACTTTTAGGAGAGAAGTCAAACAGCTGAAGAGTTAACAGCGCCTGCTGTGGCTGTAGAGACCGAGACAGGAGAGACATGTTCTGTTGCAGCTGGGGCAGACGAAGGCATCGGGTTGTGCTACTGCAGATTCACCAGGGCATTTCTTCTCTGTGTGCTCCTCCTAGCTGTCATTCCTCCTCAGCTCTTCCCCACAATACAACCCCACAATACCGGGACTTGTACCCGATACGACTTAACAATTGTTCTGTGTACAGTGGCACCTCGGGTTACATACGCTTCAGGTTACAGACGCTTCAGGTTACAGACTCCGCTAACCCAGAAATATTACCTCGGGTTAAGAACTTTGCTTCAGGATGAGAACAGAAATCGTGCGGCGGCAGCGGGAGGCCCCATTAGCTAAAGTGGTACCTCAGGTTAAGAACAGTTTCAGGTTAAGAACGGACCTCCGGAATGAATTAAGTACCGTATTTTTTGCTCTATAAGACTCACTTTTTCCCTCCTAAAAAGTAAGGGGAAATGTGTGTGCGTCTTATGGAGCGAATGCAGGCTGCGCAGCTATCCCAGAAGCCAGAACAGCAAGAGGGATTGCTGCTTTCGCTGCGCAGCGATCCCTCTTGCTGTTCTGGCTTCTGAGATTCAGAATATTTTTTTTCTTGTTTTCCTCCTCCAAAAACTAGGTGTGTCTTGTGGTCTGGTGCGTCTTATAGAGTGAAAAATACAGTACTTAACCCGAGGTACCACTGTATATACAGCACATATTGATTAGATAACACATCTAGTCTTTCAAGAAAAGAGCCTTTTCAGAGATGTTGCCTGATCTTGCCTTGCAGAGACCTGAAGCTTGACAACGTTCTCCTAGACAAGGAAGGGCACATCAAGATTGCCGATTTTGGGATGTGCAAAGAGCACATGGGAGGAGACGTCAAGACAAGCACATTCTGTGGAACCCCCGATTATATTGCACCAGAGGTAAGTGGGGCTATTAGCCGTGGCAACCAATGGAACTTCCCCAGACTAGAGGCAGAATATCTCTGAATAACAGGGGTTGGGTGCAAATGCAAGAGAAGGATTGAACCTTTTCTGCCCACCAATAAGCTCCCTGGAGGTATCTGGGTGCTTGGTGTAGGGAATGCAGTTGTGATGGCCTGGGACTCGGGCTCGGACTCGGAACCAGAGGAGTCTCAGTCCGCACCAGATCCTTTGCCTCAGGCAGCATCTGAACAAAGTCTGGGGCCTGATTCTGAAGAGCCCCAGTCTGCACAGGTTCCCCTGCAACAAACACCAGCTGGGCCGAGTCAGGGGCCTGAGCCTGCCCTGGCTCCAGATGCGGGAATTACCTCGTTGCCTTCAGCTGGGCCATCACTTACAGCTGCTCCACTACCAGTTGGGTCAGGAGGCGGCCCCTGGGTCTAGTAACCCACCGACGTCTCCCGAGCTGCAGAGACTAAGGTTGGAGAGAAGGAGAGACCTGAGTACTTGTAGGAGGAGTGCTCACCTTCGGGCAAAACAGAGAGGTGAGTCGCTGGGGATCAGGACCGGCCATTACCCTGACAAAGATAAAAGGCTGTCAGATCCTGCCCCAGGTCGTGGGAGCAACATTGCTGTTTGCTAGAACATGCTTGAGATCCTGTGCCTGACCTTGCCTGGTTTCCTGCCTCATGTCTTGCCTTGCCCCTGTTGGACTGACTCCCCATGGAACCCTTGGATTCGGGACCGGACCTGGAGCACGTTGCCCGGGTTGCTCCTGGGGCCAGCACAGCAATGCTCAAGGTCATGGGGTATCTTGTGGGCCTTCAGGTTGGACTTCAACCTTCATCACCCCAGCCAGCATGGTCAACAGGCAGGGGCACAGCAGGGCTGAAGCTCAGTGGTAGAATCACAGAATTGTAGGGTTGGATGGGACCCCATGAGTCATCTAGTCCAACCCCCTGAAGTGCAGGAATCTCAACTAAAGTATCCATGGCAGATGGCCTTCCAGCCTCCAAGAAAGGAGAGCCCTTCACCTTCCAAGGGAGTCCATTCCAGCTCTTACCAATAATTGGAATCTCCTTTCTTGTAACTTGAATCCATTGTTTCAGGTCCTACCCTCCAGAGCAGGAGAAAACAAGCTTGTGGAGGCGGGTGTGGAGGACTCTCTGGTCCTGAATGGGGTAACTGTGCCTCTGAAGGACCAGGTGCGCAGCCTGGGAGTCATTTTGGACTCACAGTTGTCCATGGAGCCGCAGGTCAATTCTGTGTCCAGGGCAGCTGTCTACCAGCTCCTCCTGGTACACAGGATGAGACCCTATCTGCCTGTGGACTGCCTCGCCAGAGTGGTGCATGCTCTGGTTATCTCCCGCTTGGACTACTGCAATGCGCTCTATGTGGGGCTACCTTTGAAGGTGACCCGGAAACTACAACTAATCCAGAATGCGGCAGCTAGACTGGTGACTGGGAGCAGCTGCTGAGACCACATAACACCGGTCTTGAAAGACCTACATTGGCTTGCAGTACGTTTCCAAGCACAATTCAAAGTGTTGGTGCTGACCTTTAAAGTCCTAAACGGCCTCGGTCCCGTATATCTGAAGGAGCGTCTCCACCCCCATCATTCTACCCAGACACGGAGGTCCAGCGCCGAGGGCCTTCTGGCGGTTCCCTCGCTGCGAGAAGCCAAGTTACAGGGAACCAGGCAGAGGGCCTTCTCGATAGTGGCACCCACCCTGTGGAACGCCCTCCCAGCAGATGTCAAAGAGAAGAACAACTACCAGACTTTTAGAAGACATCTGAAGGCAGCCCTGTTTAGGGAAGCTTTTCATGTTTGATGCATTACTGTATTTTAATATTTTGTTGGAAGCCGCCCAGAGTGGCTGGGGAAGCCCAGCCAGATGGGTGGGGTATAAATAAATAAATTATTATTATTATTATTATTATTATTATTATTATTATTATTAATTTCCATGTGACAGCCCTTGAGTTATTTGAAGATGGCTATTATAATCGGTCGCTTCTTATCCAGGCTAATCATACCCAACTCCCTCAACCGTTCCTTATAAGGATTGGTTTCCAGACCCTTGATCATCTTGGTAGAGCATCTGATTAACATAGAGAAGGTCCCAGGTTCAAATATCTGAAGGACTGCCACATGGTAGATAGAGCAATCTGTGAGCCAGCCCCCGCGTGTGTGGGGAGGGCATGGGCCCGCAACCCCACCTCCTCTCCAGTTCGGAAGTGGCTTTAGCTCATTGCAAGGAGGCCAGCTCTTACTAATAAGCTTTCTTCACTTCTCCATCCCTTTTCCATTAAAGATTCTGCTGGGGCAGAAATACAACATGTCCGTTGACTGGTGGTCCTTTGGAGTCCTTCTGTACGAGATGTTGATTGGTCAGTCTCCCTTCCATGGTCAGGACGAAGAGGAACTCTTCCAGTCGATCCGCATGGACAGCCCGTTCTACCCTCGATGGCTTGACAAGGACGCAAGGGACCTTCTTGTGAAGGTCAGGTCAAGTAGAGAGGGAGGCAGGGATGGAGGAAGGATTGGACTGAGCAAGATCCCTTTCTACAGGAATAATTCTCCCCAGCATTTCCTCACCTTTTCCTCATATTGGTTCCTTTGCACTAAATACGGTCATTTTTCCTGATGGAATTTACTTTTAAAGATAAAATAAGAATTTATCTTTAAGGGTGTCTCCAGACTGCCTCTGTTTTGGGGTCACAGTGGTACCTCAGTTTAAGTACTTAATTCGTTCCGGAGGTCCATTCTTAACCTGAAACTGTTCTTAACCTGAAGCACCACTTTAGCTAGTGGGGCCTCCTGCTGCCGCCGCACTGCCAGAGCATGATTTCTGTTCTTATCCTGAAGCAAAGTTCTTAACCTGAAGCACTATTTCTGGGTTAGCGGAGTCTGTAACCTGAAGCGTATGTAACCCGAGGTACCACTGTATATCGCCCTTCACCCGTAGATCTCAGGGCAATCCACAACATAAAAATGCAAGATAAAAAGCACAAAATACATAATAAAAACAAGAAGCAAACAACAGTCAGTGCTGTGTTTTTTTTTAATTTGGCATTCTTTCAATTTCCAGCTTTTTGTAAGAGAACCGGAAAGGAGACTGGGAGCCAAAGGGAACATCCGCCAACATCCCTTTTTCCAAGAGATCAACTGGGAAGCCATTGAAGCGAGAGCAGTCGAACCCCCTTTCAAGCCTAGAGTGGTGAGAGAGAGGGGAAAAAAACCTTAACCTTTCTGAGTTTCTTTGCTTCTCTTCGCAACTAAAAATGAATGATCCCTTGCAGATCAGAGGGGAGGTGGTTGAGTTTCCTTGTTTGTGGACTCCAGATAATCTTACCATGTTTAGACTCATTTTTTTTAGATTCAGATAGGTAGCCTGGTCTGACGCAGTCAAAATAAAAATAAAAATTTTTCCAGTAGCAGCTTATAGACCAACTAAGTTTGTTCTGGTATAGGCTTTCGTGTGCATGCACACTTCTTCAGATGCACACAAAAGCTCGTACCAGAACAAACTTAGTCGGTCTATAAGGTGCTACTGGACAATTTTTTATTTAATTTTTTTTATTTAGACTTTTTGGTTTGCTTGTTTTAAAAATTATTTCTATGCAACCTTTCATATACCGTATATATTTTTAAAAATGCCAGGGCAGCTTCAAGGGTGATAAAACAGCGTTGAACAAAAAAGATATCTGAAATATACTCGGAGTCGAGTATGGATTTCATGCTCTTTATTCAGCTCATAGTAGTGAGGAATGCAAGTTCCCCCGAAATGTCTGCTTTATATACATTATTTACACAATGGGCCCCACATGATTGGCTAATTCCGGGATTCTCCTATAGGCCAATCAGGTTGCGGATTCACCTAAACCTGGAGTTGGATTGGGTGGCTCCTGCAGATCAATCAGACTGCTGCATTCTGGATCCTATTGTTCTAGGACCAATCAGACTGCTGCATTTTGGATCCTATTCAACTCAGTACATAACAATATCAAACATCAGTTACAGTTGCAGCAGCGAGAGAAGCCAGGGGGAGGCTGATCCATTAGGGCAAATGGGGCGCAACCCCACCAGCTTTGCCCAGCCCTCACCTGTCTGTCTTCTTATTTACAACCAGTCCAGAAGGTGCTGCTGCTTGCCAGTTTTCTCTCAAGCTTGCCTCTTATAGAACTCAATAGCAGAGAGGATGGGCACAAAAGTAGAGCTCATTGGTTCTGGCGCCACCTACTGTTGGGCTCCTTTCCTTCTGCCCAATGGGTCCCAATGGCCACCGACCACCACTGCAGACAGGAAGAGCTTGGAAGAATCACTAAAGGCTTGGAGGACTACAAATTCCATCACCCTTCATCCTGGCTGGGGCTGATGGGAGTTAGAGAGCCACAGGGATCCCTGGCCCTGTTTTTAAAGGTATAAGAGCATCTTCTTAATGCAGGGGCAGGTGCCATATTGCCCCCTCAAGGTTGCTGGACTCCCATCTGCCTAGCCGGTAGTCAGAGATGATGGGAGTTGTAGTCAAACAACAATATCTGGAAAACGCCACATTAGCTTAAGCAATGTTTCTTAAACTTGGGTCTTTAGCTGTCGATGGACTACAACTCCCATCATCCCTGACCACTGGTCCTGCTAGCTAGGGATGATGGAAGTTGTCGTCTGCTGGAGACCCAGGTTTGAGAAACATTGTGCAACTCTCCCGATTCCATTTCTGATGTTTCTAACTCCGTTTTCCCTCTCCCTTCTGCAAGAAATCCCCGGGCGACTGCAGCAACTTCGACAAAGAATTTCTGAACGAGAAACCCCGGCTGTCGTGCGGGGACCGGAGCCTCATCAACAGCATGGACCAAAACATGTTCCGAAGCTTTTCCTTTACCAACCCCATCATGGAAAAGTTGCTCTCCTGAGAGACAAAAGTCCTGGGATCAAGGTGGCTTCAAGAACAACAACAACAACAACAACCATGGCCTCCAAACTCCCAACTGGCGGACGTCGTGCTTCTCATTGGACGACGGTGGTGGTGGCCTGGATCCAAGTGCGCCCTTCTTCCAGTGGAAAGTCTCTTCTGCTAACAGAAGGGCTGCTTCCGACCTGGCAGAAGAGGGTTGCACGAGAGAGGTGACCCCAAATTCCAGGGAAGTTCTTTCGTTTGAAGAAGCTCTCGCACAAGATTTTGCAGAAGCTCGGAGGCCAGGGCTGGAGGGCGGCTTCACTGGGCAGCACCTGAAGGCATTCAACCAACTTAGCCGGTGTAGGGCAGGCTGCATGGCCCACATCACTGTATCCTCCATCATCTGCTGCCAATTACTGCCTGCCGCCCGAGGCAGCCGCCTCACTCTGTCCAACAACCGGCCCTGCTGGGAGACGGTGATTTTCTCCCAAGCAAATGGGCAGTGGCAACAGCTGTGAGGACGATGGGGATAGCATACACAGAGAGGAAGACCCACTGAGAACATCTTCCCCAAAGTCTCCTGGAACTGGCACCGCACAAGCTCTTTTCAAGACCACTAGAGTTTTTACATGCCACGGCTGGCTCATTCACCATGTTTCATGGCTGGCAATTCAGCCCCTGACACACTGCACCGTGGTTTGACAGAACGGTACTAATACATTTTCGCCTCCTGCTATCTTCCTCATTCACCGTGTTTCACGCCTGGCAATTCAGCCCCTGACACACTGCACCGTGGTTTGACAGAACGGCACTAATACATTCTCGCCTGCTATCTTCCTCATTCACCGTGTTTCACGCCTGGCAATTCAGCCCCTGACACACTGCACCGTGGTTTGACAGAACGGCACTAATACATTCTCACCTCCTGCTATCTTCCTCATTTACCATGTTTCACGCCTGGCAATTCAGCCCCTGACACACTGCGCCGTGGTTTGAATGGCACTAATACATTCTCGCCTCCTGCTCGAGGTGTTTGGATCTGAGCCACTGTGGTTTGCTGAATGGTGTGGATGTCCCAGGAGGAACACTTAAGAAGGGAATATCTGCGATAACCTGGGGGCCTTTTACTCAGTTCCATCGTTCTGCCCTGCGGTGGAGAACCTCTGGTCTTCAGACCTTATAAGGCCCAACAGGGATCCTAACTGGCCTGTGAGGATGTTTTCTCCAAACCACATGCACTTGCCTACCCTGAACACTGTACATGGCATCAGGGCAGATGTAGACGTATCTGCAAAGGAGGAATGAGGAGCTTAAAGTGGGCTCCCCATTATTCCCTCTCAGGACCAATCAGCTGATCTTCACTGACAGGGAGCCCCACTGGGATTGGCTGAGCCAGGGAGTAAGCCGTCAGGCATGCCCTCATTCAGCCAATGGGGTGACTAGCTTTGATCAGCTGATGAGTCCTGAGAGACATCGTTTTGTAGCAGTTTGTGTTCAAAATGCAGACAACTGGACTTTAAGGGTGATGGCTGCCAGTGCCGATCAGCTGAGAGCCCTCATTCTGAAGTCCATTTGCAAGCAATTTGCATACGAACTGGACTTCAATGTGAGCCGCATCGTAGCAAGTCCTCCACATTTCCGTTAGTGTCCCAATCTACCTCCTTTGTCCTTTCGAGATCCTGCTGTGATCCTGTGAGGGAAGATCTCGGTCTTGTGAGTTCCACCTCACAGGATTGTCGAGTCCCTGTGTGGTTTAACTCACCTGTGAGAGTTCCTCCAGATTGTTCGGATCTCTCTCTCTGTGGGACTCATGCGATAACTCACCCCCGTTTAGCTTCAAGAGATACTGTGTGTTTCTCGTTTGATGCAGGCACTTTCCAAAGGCCATAGGTCAGTGGTAGAGAGCATGTGCTTTGCATGGAGAAGGTCCCAAATTCAATCCCTGGTGTGGCGATCACACAGAGTCCCCGGACGTTTAACGGTCTATTGATCCCTGTGCCACCACTGTGCTCGCTTCCCCGCTGCCACCAACCCGTTACTCTCTTACTGTCAGAAAGTTCTTCCTGATGCTTAGTCGGAATCTTCTTTCTTGTAACTTGAATCCGTTGGTTCGGGTCCTGCCCTCCAGAGCAGGAGAAAACAAGCTGGCTCCATCCTCCATGTGACAGCCCTTGAGATATTTGAAGATGACTCACATCTCCTCCCAGTCTCCTCTTTTCCAGCCTAAACATACCCAGCTCCTTCAACCATTCCTCATATGGCTTGGTTTCCAGACCCTTGATCATCTTGGTTGCCCTCCTCTGCACATGTTCCAGTTTGTCCATATCCTTCTTAAATTGTGGTGCCCAGAATTGGACACAGTATTCCAAGTGTGGTCTGACCAAGGCAGAATAGAGTAGTACTATGACTTCCCTTGATCTGGACACTATACTTCTGTTGATGCAACCTAGAATAGCATTCACTTTTTTTGCTGCTGAATCACCCTGTTGACTCATGTTAAGCTTGTGGTCGACTAAAATCCCTAGATCCTTTTCACATGTACTACTGGCAATCCTGGTGCGGCTGGTTCTTCCTGCGTAAGTGTAGAACCTTAAATTTGTCCCTATTGGAATACATTTTGCCCAGTTCTCCAATCTGGTAAGATCGTCTTGAATCCCAATTCTGTCTTCAGGGGGTTGAACCTTGGAACCTTCTGCATGCAAAGCAGATGTCCAGCCACTGAGATATGGACCACTTACATCAAAAGGTGATGTTTGCCATCCTTCGCATAAGTGTGTCTCATGCGGTGGCATAACTAAGACCAGAAGTTCCGTGTCTGCTGTGTATCTTGCCTTGGCCATAGCCTAACTTATTACTCTGCCCAACATCGGGTGGCCCAGCCTCTACTGAGAAGGACCCTGCAAATAGCACACAAATCTATGTGGCCCAGCCTTCCCACTCTAATCTTTGCAACACGCAGCTCTACTGTTTGCCCTGCCTATCATAATGATGGGCGTTTTGCTCATATGTACATAGTGGTGCTCATTCAATAGGTCTCCATAATCTGTTGTTGTTTTCCCCCTCTGGTCAATGGAAGAGCTCCCTCTCTGTGCATATTCCTTACGGTTGGGTTGCAGTGTTTAATTAGATTTGTTAATAATACGGATTTTTGAAAACTGTTTGTGATGTTTGTACAGGTAAATAAAATGTTGTCCACGGTAATGGGAGCAAATGTTTTTGTAGGGAGACCAAAGCAGGTAATGCTCATAATGGCTGCAATGCGCTGTTCAGTAGTACGTTGCATCAGAGCTGGCCTTAAGAGATGTTCATTTCTGAAAGCGAAAAGCATGATATGAAGTTTTATGGGCGGCTTCCAACAAAACACTAAAATACAATAACCTATTAAACATTAAACGCTTCCCTAAATAGGGCTGCCTTCAGATGTCTTCTAAAAGTTTGGTAGTTGTTTTTCTCTTTGACATCTGGTGGGAGGGCGTTCCACAGGGCAGGTGCCACTACCGAGAAGGCCCTCTGCCTGGCTCCCTGTAACTTGGCTTCTCGCAGCGAGGGAACCGCCAGAAGGCCCTTGGCGCTGGACCTCAGTGTCCGGGCAGAACGATGGGGGTGAAGACGCTCCTTCACGTATACTGGACCAAGGCTGTTTAGGGCTTTAAAGGTCACCTCTTGCTCATGAGGTGATGAGGAAGGTTACCTCTTTCTCTCTTGAAAAATACATCTGGAGGAGGAAATTCGAAGGACGCCACTCTTTCCCACTTCCTCTTTCAGCTCTATGGTCTTTTCAACGTTCAGGTTAACTCTACTGGATCCATCTTTTACCTAGATCACTTCGAAAGGTTTAGCGTGTGAACTTTCTATTTCTCTTAAGGGGAGGGGGCTGATCCCAAGGAGAGGAGAGAGAATTGACCAAAGGGAGAAACACCTACAGCACTCAAATTTCAAAACAAATGTCACTGGTGAATGTAGACCAGGGGTGGCTAGCTGTTTTTCACCCGAGGGCCACATATCAGCCTCCCAGGGGCCACGTATCAGCAGAGAGCGTGGACAAACGTAGGTGTGGCTGCCCTTCGCGGTAACAGGCTGGCAGCCACGCTGACACCCAGAATCTCCTTCAGCGAATCCATCCAGGCCAGCTGAGGAGCTGGGGTTGTATCAGCCCATAGCCGTTCATCAAATAATCAATCTGATTATCAGGAAAGGAGACAGGTGAATCCCCACCAGGGCTCTCGGTGTTGCCCATCCCATCGCTGCTGTGTCTGCTTTCTTCTGCTGCTTTTTTGCCTCCCCTGCCAAAACTCTCCAGCTCTCACTTCCATACATCACTACTGGGAAAACCATGGCTTTAACTATATGTTAAGTTTCAATAAAGATCTTGGGGGGGAGACAGCAATGCAAGACACCCTCCCTGCGTTGTCTTCAATTGCTTTTGCGTGATGCCGGGTTTGTCCCTGAGAAAAGCAAACCCTGGCCATGGGTCGTGTGCAGACCGAGCAAGCCTTTTGGTGCTTCTCACGTTTTGAGATACCATCACCGCTTCTGGAAGACAGCCAGGCAGCTCGGCTGAGGATGACTCACTTTGCAAGAAACACCTGTCGACACTCGGTCACAATCGCCTCTCTATTTAAAGGAAATCTTAGCAGGGTGAGATTGTCATCAACCCAAAGTAAAAAGGGAGCTTGGCTCCTCTCAGTCGAACGACTCAGAACAGCTTGACCTGCTAAATTTCCACTTGTCGCAACAGACCTGGGTATTTCACGTGGGAGTGAAGAACAAAGAACCTCAGGAAACACGTTTGGCGTTATTTATTTATTTTAAGCCTTTGCTAACCGGGCGTTATGGCAAACGCCCCTCCCCCTGGCTTGAGGCCCAAAAATAAAATGAAACAGAAGAGTAAGAAAGAGGCAGGGCTGTCAAATGCAAACATGAGAGATTGTCTTATTCCACACATGCACTCTTGACGGCCTCAATCTGCGGAACTGGCACTATTTCTGTTGACACATAATGCCTGTTCTACTTTTG